AATCTGGACAGATCGAAGTCAAGATCGTCGACTAGTGATTGCAGTCATAAAAACTACTACTAGTGCGCCACCATCACGCATCAAAGTATGTCTTTAGTGAAGGCATGTGTGCTAGCTTGGGATGTGGCTCACAATCATATTTTATCTAAATTCACTTAAAGTTCTATACAGAGTTATGTTTGCATCTGCAGCTTGCCGTCTATTGAGTGAAAACATGAAAGATGCGAATCATTTTGTACGTACTCACCAAGGAAACTAAATTTAAAATATAAGAATAATTCTGAAAAACTTGATTAGATAATCGTTGAAAAACTGCGTAAATGTCTATGGTCGATTTCAATATAATAAACTTGTGCTTTTATGTTTATTTATTGCTTCTCAAATTTTTTTGATAAAACTAAAGGAGTACCATGTTTTGTCGTCTGGTTGCAATCAGATGTTCCTTGTATGAAAGCCAATTTCTCTCAAGCAGTTTTTCAGAGAAATCCATTCGGAATCAACCGAGTTTTAATCAGACCTGCGCCACTGATCGTGCTCTAGTGCTGCTGTTCATCGAATGAAACGGAAATATCTAACATTTATGTGGAATAAATGCATTATTAAAGCTGGATAATTCCAGATTGATTGATCTTTTACTTTTAGTATAGAAAGCATCAATACCAAAATGTGTATGTCAAAATTTCTACATTTTATCTTTAGATCTAGAGGTCACTAGAGACTATTATATTCGATTTTCATTTTGATCAATTCAATTGGTCTTCATTGTTCTCTAATCATGTAGATCAGAAATTTTGTCCTTACTTAATATATATATCAGTGTGTTAAACATATACTTTCGGTATCTATTTGTTTCATTTTTAATTCTAAATTTTTCAGATTATTCACAGTTGACGACATGGTTAAACTAAGTACGCATGACTTTTCTTATTTGAACTTTTAACTTAATTTTTTAAAACTAATATTTAGGTAAAAAAAGTAAACGCGTTTCTTGCGCACATCGATATAGCATAGCTAAGAAAGTACGTGGGCATAACAAAAAAATGCGTAAAGAAGCACGGAAACATCCTGAACTTAAAAGTAAGAAGCAGTTAAACATTTAAATTTCGTTCCTATAATATTCTAATTTAAAATATTTAGAAAAGAAAAGTAAAGATATAAAAATACCAAAATTAGCTCCTTTTAAAAGCGAATTATTACAGCAAGCCGAAGAAGCTAAAAAACAAGTTTGTGCAAAACAAAATCATCGTAAATCATTTGATTGTTTCTTGTTTTTAGTTAGAAGAAGAACGCCAGTTAAAAAGACAACAACGCGCTTTAGCTCGTCAACAAAAAAAAATTGAACGGCCAAAATCTTTAGAGTCGATGGTGACCGATGTCGAACGACGACAAAATAAATTTGATCATGAAAAATTGCCAACAGTAAAATTATTTTCTCGCGTGTTCGATATTCAATCATTTTTCCGATGTATTTAGAATGACCAAATGAATGCATCAAGTGAAGGTGGTGAAGGAGATGAAAGATCTCGAAAAACGTTTTATCGAGAATTTAAAAAGGTTGTTGATGCATCAGATATAATTATTCAAGTACTCGATGCTCGTGATCCATTAGGATGCCGATGTCCTCAAGTTGAAGAAGCTGTTTTAACATCAGGAAAAAATAAAAAGCTTATTTTATTACTGAATAAAATCGGTATCATCTATTTTCAAATTCAATCAAACAGATTTATTGTTTGTTTGTTAATTTTATTAGATCTTATTCCACGTGATAATCTTGATAAATGGTTAAAATATTTACGTAATGAATTTCCCACAATTGCGTTTCGTTCATCAACTCAAAATCAACGTGATCGATTAGTATGAATTGATAAGTTGTCATAAAAATTGATGAGTTTATTATTTTGTCTAGGGTCATGTTAAAGCATCATTAAAAGCTTGTGATGAACATTTACTTAAATCATCAAATAAATGTATTGGTGCATCGACACTAATGAATCTTCTTTCGAATTATTGTCGAAAATTTGATATAAAAACAAGTATTACTGTTGGGATTGTTGGTAAACGTTTTGTCGTCAATTAAGAAATTTGTAAAAAAATCAATTTTTTCTTGTTAAGGATTTCCAAATGTTGGAAAAAGTAGTGTAATTAACAGTCTTAAACGAAGTCAAGCATGTGAAACTGGATCCATGCCTGGAATAACAAAGTAAAATTATTTTTTCAAATAGTTTCATTCTATTGAAAGTATGTTTTTTTCAGACAAATGCAAACAATTAAATTAGATAAATTAATTAAACTATTCGACAGTCCTGGTATTGTTATGTCAAAAGATACAAATCCAGCTAGTCTGGTTCTTCGTAATTGTATTCGAGTGAGTTAAATAGAACAAAGAAAAATTTTGAAACAATCTAGATATGAATCAATTCATGCGCAAACTTATCATTGAATACGAAAGACTATTTTCTTTAAATGTTGAGATAGAAAAATAGATAATATTCTTTATTAGAAAAAGCGTACGACAGGGCTGTGGAATTATTGATCAGATATCAGATACATAAAATCATTTTGAATGGAGCACTTGGGCTGTTTAGTATATAGTAAATATTGAATGTGAAATATGACATTCGTATATCAAATGCAGAGTAGAAAAACAGTGTCGGCTATCGTTTTCAAACTTTCAAATAATAACTTGTATAAAAAATCTTCTGTAAACACTTATTTAATGAGATCACTACCATAATAGTTCATAGAACATTATAGACGTTCGTTCTTTTAGTTATCCTTTGCTGTACGTTTAACGATATAAATAGTATATATTTCATTTTTAATCACATTATCTAGATTGAAACAATTGAAAATCCAGTACCAGCAATTGAATTATTACTTAATCGATGTAGTAAAGAACAAGTAAACATTCATATTTTCATGGTCGAAAAAGAACTTAATTGTTACTTTCTTGTTCGTATAGATGATGCTTCAATATAACCTAAGCGATTTCAAAGACGTAAATGAATTTCTTTCAAAGATGGCTTTAAAAATGGGTAGTTTGAAAAAAGGTGGAATACCCGATATAAATAAAGCAGCACAACGTATTCTTTCTGATTGGACATGCGGTAAACTAACTTACTTTACTGAACCACCTGAACGTACTGGTGAAATAATTAGTACTGAACTTTTGACACAAATGAAAGCAGCATTCGATATTGATGGTTTATTGAAAAATGAAGATGAACAACTAAAAGATTTACTTAATACTCCACTTACTGGTATATCTCTTCCAGCATCGATTCCAACACAAGCTGATATGGATTTGGACAACGATGAAAATATTTCTGAAGATGAAAATAATCTCACGGAAGAAATGAATCAAGATGACGATGAAAATCATCAACCAACAGCTAAAGATTCGAAAAAAGTAACTTTTAGAAGATAGATTTCCTCCGGTTTCTTGTCATGTATTGAATTTTATTAATTAAGGTTCGGTTTACGGTTCAAGTAAATGATAAAACTAAACATTTATCAAAAAAACAAGCAGCCGATTTAGCCGATAAAGAACATAATAATGAAATTCGACGATCAGTAAAACGATCTAATCTTGTTCGCAAACAAGAATTTAAAAAAAATAAAAAGAACCAAAAACGAACAGGTGAAGAAAATTTCATTTCATAAAACGTTCAAATTGTTCTGTTTTGTTTTTGCAGAAAAATCCGTGTCGAATCTAGGTGATGCGTTAGATTCAATTATTCGACTTACAACAACTAGCAAATCCAAAGATGATTCATATAATTTTGAAACAGATTTTGTTTAAAACTGTTCTTGTTTTGTTTGTGTCGAAAAATAAAAAGAAAGGAAATTAACTAGAAGTAACAAAAAAGAAGATAAACTTTAAAAGTCGATAAAATGCAACAAGTCAAATTGCTAATGTATTCTTCGGTACAATTACAATTGCTTTTCAAGTTCCAAAGGAATTAATCATTTTGATGTATTGATAAGAATCAAGTCAATAGATATACATAAGAACTACTTGTCTAACTTATTTAATACTTACAGTGAAAAAGAATAATTTTTGTTGTATATACATACATGTATATTATTAGTGTTTTAATGAGAAAGTAAATTTACTTTTACTATTCACATAATAGAATATGCCAAACTATGAAATTAGAACACAATGTAATAACTCTATCAATAAATCATACCGCTAGATAGATGAATTCAATCCATTACAATAGAATTACCAATTAAAAGTCTATCTTTGATTGAATGATTTTCTTCTTCATAGGTTAGCGTATTCAAACTTATTTTCCATTGTTGGATAAAGTGGATTACCTTCTTTACTCGAGTCTATTTTAATAGTTCAAGCAAGTACAATAGTTTCAACCTAAGACCCATGATCAATATCGTTTCAGCCAAAATTTAATAATATTGGGGAACAACCATAGATCTTGAAAGTTCTGACTGAAAAAACAACAGAATATACATTTGATTTCATTCACAGAAGAAAAATTCAATCGCTTTTTCTTCGTATGCTTAAATTATCAGTACCAAATCATGTTTTTGCGTCTAGTTTTTGAATGAAATTGGCTTTTACCAAGAACATTCTTATTTTCGAATTGATACAAAAATTTTGCAAACACGTTTCGTTAAAATAAAATGATAATGAGAAGCGCTTCGTACTAAGAAATATTAATGCGTTAATGAATCATCACTGTCAACTACTACAATGAAGCAGATTAAAAATGAAATTTTGTGAAAATTACAATCAATACAAGATCGAATCTTTTGGAAAACAAGACATAATGATTTCTAAATTTATTTTATAGGTTCTGAAATTTATCAATGATATCAATCATAAAAATGATAACAGAATAGAATGGAAGGTAAAGAATTTTTCGTTCGATTTGTCGGAATAGTATCCAGGGTTTACGTATAAAGCAGCGGTCTGCTCGATAGAGAAAGAAAAATACACTTACATAGCGACATATATTTATGACTAGGCAATAGATATGGATGTAAATGGTGTTGTTACTGACAAAGATCTGTATGCTCGTAAAATTGCAAATCACCATCAGAGGCTTGGCCCTAAATTATCTTCTCATTTTATATCGAATAAACATCAGGCTATACTGAATATAATAGCAACAACAACAACAACAACAATCATTCCTACACCAAATTCTGTAAAATTGGTTTCATTAGAAGACAACGAATCAAATATAAAACTTGATAAATTCGCAGATATCATCCCATTTATTTACCTTCATTGGCTTCTTGTACTAATTGCAATTTTAATAGCAGTTGTATTACTAATTATTTTCATATGTTACTGTCGTAGATTTATCACAATTTATAGAACTCGCAGGTAAATTATGATTTTAATGATAAATAATCTATTGTTTACATTGATTAAAAAGGGAACCATTATCAAACTTCTATCAATATCGAACAACAAAGCGGCGTATACATCCTCATAGTATACATCAACCAAAAGCATTACAATTTCAATATTTAACTACACCACCATGTCCATCAAAATCATTGGAGTGTCTCAATTATCAATTTCATCAGCAAGATCTCAATAATAGTGATTCTCCACAGGTTGTGCGTCTTGGCACATATCGTAACGAATCTCTAAGGTAAACAATTTTAAGATTCTTCTTTTAATATTATTTTCTTTTTTTTGTAAATATGCAGTACGTTTACCAGTTCGACATCATATTTACCTTCCACGTTATCAAGTCGTTTAAGTACTCGTTCATTTGATCCAACATTAAAAGTATATGAATCACAAGTAAATGCGCATTTTCTAAATGATGATAGTATAATATATATTCGTCTCACTGTTTTATTAGCGTGCAAGCATGACAATAGATGACGAACCCAACGAAAATTCATTGATTATTGAAATCAACTAGATGCCATGTGTTTTTTTTTATGAACAATTTAAAACAGAGATATTTATGTATGTTTTTTATGTTATCGTTTCAAATAAAATTAAAAAAAAAAGAAAGGTTTCTGTTTAATTTGCCATTAATTTAATAGTTTATCTTCCAAATAAAATGATAGAGGCCAACTAATTTCAGATAAAACAAACCAATAGCTGATAATATTTTGCAAATAAATATGTTTATTTCATGCAATGAACAAATAGAAAAAATTGCCGTTATTTATGATCTTTTTTTTTGTTAGTAAAAGCGTTGGAGGATTTCTAGAACACACTATTTAGAAATACTCAAATCTTAAAGTATAGAACTATTCATGTAAAACTTCGTATCTATGCAATACTTATCTGTAGTTATTACATATCCATAGCATATAATATACTTATTCTATGCCCACAAGATTCTTGAAATTTTTAATCCTTTTTCTAATTCAATAGAACTAATAAATTTTGATAAAACATACTGATATAAATATGATGCTCAATTCGAATCTATAAAGAAATAATTATTTTTTGAACATAAAGGAAAGTTATAATATTTTCGAAAGTCATGTACTGAATTTCAGGAATATTAAAATTCAAAACACAAGGTAGTCAAATATATTGTAAATGAGAAGATGTGAATAACATCATATTAGATAATAGAAATAGTTCAGCTATAAAATTTTACTATATATTATAAGAGATTAATCAATAGATGTTCAAAATGATGCTTTCTTCGGCAATCACGGACGATAACACAAAATACTTCAGAAATCTTTGAGGTGTGCAAGATTCAATGCTTATTGTAAGAAAACTCAATACTTCTTAGTAATGATGTACAATACACAAATGAAAATAACAAATCTTAGAGTATTAATTATTTCTCAACTAATTTGCTATCTTGCATCGTTGTCTTTTTACAAGAGAAAAGTCAACAAAAACTTATATAAAACAATAGTTTAGAGTTTATTAAAAACATTATTTTGTTAGATTTCTGAATTCAGTTTGAATCTTTGTGATTTTCTTGAAATCATAGTCACATATACTGTAAATCGTTCTATATACTTTGTTTTACATTATATATTACTTGAAATAGGAATGATTCTTATTTTAACAATTAATATACGATAGGAAATAAACTGTTAATCAAACAACTCTTTTTATGATTTGCTTACAATCCACAAAATATTTTCGAATGAATATAGCAGTTTTTCTGTTCGGTTTGATCTTTTAGAAAATAATAATCGACGAACGCACAACAGGACTTGTTTTTGAAAATTTGAAAATGGAAAATCATTTTTTTAAAGAATCTTATCATAAATTCTCATGATGTGATGTCAAAATAATGAGGAAAAGCTTCGTGTTAAATAGTAGTAATCACTAGATTATCCGTTCAATGATTACAATGAATCTGTTGATAAAATTTTTGTGTACGTCTTGTAAAGTTTTCTTCTTGGCTTGTTTTTATAAATAATATTTTCTCTATCCGTTATGCCTTTTGTACTTAAGAAGAAAACAAATAAGTAAAATGGTTTCATATATATATATATATATAATCCGCGTTTATATTCATATACTTTTAAATTCAATCGAGAAATTTATGATCTTTAAACACGCCAATAGTTCATTTAACTTAATTAATAATCAAATATTAAAAATAAAATCATGTTAATTTTTTAAATTTTATATACATAACTGACTAAAGATATCCGAACTCACAAAAAATCAAGAAAGGACATTTTATGTTGTTGTTGGTTCATTAGCCATAGTAAGTCCCTGACTTTGAAGACAAAGTAAACGTCGTTCGACAGCTTCACGATATTGTTGTAAAGTTAAACGATCGCACTCAGTTATCGCCTGTTGACTTAAACTATGGAATAAAACTTGAGCTTCAGTATACGGTTGAACACACTGAAAGAGAAAATTTCATTAGTTTATTTTATCTAAAATATCAACAAGATAATTCTTACCTCTTCTGCTTTACCGAAAAATTCTAAGCTTGCTGTATTTAAACATAATTCTATAGCATGTAAATAAAGTAATTTATCAGCAGTCAATGAAACACCTTTCAGTTCATCATGCGCCACAAATTCTTGTTGTGTACTCAATCGTTTACACATTACCAAACAATATTTATATTTATTGTTTAAATCACTAACAGCAGTTCTATTAGGTGAATAATAAGCAAATTTGTTTTTTCAATGAATTTATTTAATTACCTAACAGTATCTGTTGAATGTAATTTTCCTGTTTTCACTGTATCACTAAAAAGAACAAGAAAAAAAAGTCATTATTCTAAATTTCGAGAGATTCAACTTGCCAAAACAAAACAAAAACGCCTGATATTATTTTAGATTACCCTTCTAAAAGCTATTTAGATGATATTAAATTCTCTATATAAAACAGCATACTATTTTGATTATGAAGTTTTCATTCTACAAAAATCAAACAATAGCTACTTAGAATTCTAATGGATGAACACGATTTTATAAATCGTATAGATCTTGCAACGAATAAGTAACAAAATTCTTTTGTCCTCTAGTAACAATATCGAAACAAATGTATTCGAGATTAATCTGCTCATTTCGATTACAATGAGAGATTTTAACTTAATATCACGTGGAAAAATTCATATCGTTACTTGATACTCTCTTATTCAAGCACGATTATTCTCTAGATAATATTCTCTTGAGCTACCTTCTGGTCCATCCAGTAAAGAAACATATCATAATAGGTTATTGGCTAGTTTTATGTCATACACTGTTTCACTGATGCTTAAATTCTATTTTTTTTTGTACTACTCTTCTTTTTAATGTAAAGTTGAATTAATATTAGTTGCTAGATTTCATTCGTCTCTTCGTTAAGATCAATAAGTGATATGTAATTTTTTTTCCAACTGAAAATTATTCTTCATATTACCGGGCAAGGCACAATGCTGAACTGAGAAAATGCATTGCTTTAACATAAAGAGTTAATTGTTCAGCACGCTTATATAAATCATCAGCATGTGTAAGTCGATCTGTTTTTTGCCGAGAATAATTATTATTGTTCTTATTATTTAAACTTATGGATTCTGCTAGTAAACTTGAACGAGAACTAGCTAAATTTAAAATATATTCCACTAGTTGAAGAATAAATTGAAGTTTCCCAATTGTATCATGATGTTCACTCTAAATAAATAGAACTAAAAACTGTACTAGTAACTATTCAAATAAAACTTGCATTTAATAACGTATCATCGATTATTCTTTGTGGTTCATAATAATAATCTTCAGGTTTTGAATCTCCAAAAAGTGAAATAACACGTCGATTATCTGATTCTATTGTTGTTAGTTGATCTGTATTTTTCGTAAAAATTTCTAGATTATTTTCTTGTTCAAAAAGTTGATCACGTGTATCTAAGCAAATTTAACAAATTTTAATGAATTCAATAAAATAGAAAATATTTACTTTCGTTATCAAGTATTTTTTGTCGTGACTTAAGTGCCCATGTATCAATATTTAATTTGGAATTTTGTTGTTGAGGAAGATTTGAATTGGAAAGAGAATTTTGAACTGCTCTTGATGATCCTGATGGACTTTTTTTAGATGTTGCCGGTGATGTACGAAATGTATTTGTTGCATCAGTTGTAAATCGTACAGTAGGAGGACTAATTGAATTTGCAAGATCAGAATTGGACGAAGCAATACTTGCTCGACGAAGACGCTCAATAGATGCACGTCGATCTAACAAATAAAAAGAAATTTTCTATATATTTGCAATCTTCTCAATGTATCTATATAATATGTATATTCTTGTACCATCATATGAATTATCATTTGGACTGCCGGCTGCTGTTCCACCAAAACTTTTGGCCCGATCTCTTGATTCTTGCATTTTTTCATAATTATGAACTTGTGTTGGAACAGGTATTGGCTGACTGGTACTGGAAGCTCGCGTTTCTTTCACTGGGCTGGTATTTTCGATAGCTGCCAATGCAAAATTATCGGACCGTAATGATGTCGGTTCCGTTTGATTTCTGAAAATTAAACATAATTTTATTGAGAACAAAATCATCCTGTTTTCTTTTAAATATGAAGTTTACTTACACTGTAGCAATGACTTGTGGTTCTTGATTTATACGTTTATCTCGTAACATTTGAGCAAACGATGTATGAGTACCTGAAAACTCATTGCAGTAATGTTAATAGAAGATAATTGTAAATATAAGCATTCATATAAGTAAGAAAATGCTTTTTTCGAGTAGTACCTTGCTCTGGTATTTGCGCAAATGTTGTTGTTTGATTTAGTGGACGTTTAATTGAAAATTTATTTGTAGTCATTGGTGAAATAGTATCAAGTGATGATGAATCTTGATTCTTAGTGTTAGTTTTTGATTGCGCTGATGATACTGTATTTGGTAAAATAACTTGTTCATGCTCGGGTATAGTATCGATTTGACGATTGAACTGTCGAAGATTCAATTCATTCTTAAAATAGCTTAATTCAATTTTTTATTCAATGATGAACTGAACTTACAAGATTTTGTCCTTGAGATCCAATACCATCTCGTAATATCGAGGAATTAGTTACATCTAAGTTTGATGCTTCTGATACAATTACAGATTGATCTGAAAGTAATTTGTATAAATTTTTGGAAAAAAATACTGTTTTGATTTTGAAATATACTTTTTTTTAAAAATGGATGGCTAAAAAAATCTTCAAAATCAATGCGTTCTGTTGGATCACGTTTCAATATTCGTCGTATTAAATCCGCTAACGCTGGAGATGTTGATAGAGGAATTCTAAAACGTATTCATTTCAAACAAAATAAAATACTATGCATACTATATATATTCACATCGCTTACACAGGTGACAAATTAATTGTTCGCTCATAATATTGTTTTAGTGCTTGTGGTGTTTGAGCTTGAAATGGAGCTTTACCTGTTAAACATTGATACATTATTGTGCCTATTGACCATAAATCAGCTTTTCCATCGTATTTTAATGATCGAATGACTTCAGGTGCCATATACATTGGAGAACCGCACAATGTGCCCGCCATAACGCCATCAGATAAAAACCTAGCAAATCCAAAATCAGCTATTTTTAAAATAATGTCTTGTACACGTGGATTAGCTTTGTCGGGATGGGATAAAAGAATATTTTGAGGCTTTAAATCTCGATGAACCTTGTAGAAGAAGATAAGAGTATATCAATAAAGAAACAAAACTTGATACATACAACATTATGTTCGTGACAAGTATGAATTGCAGCGGCTAAAAGAAATTTTTAAAGAATTGAAGAAATCCAAGAAAAAAAGCATAATGACTAGCGGTGTAATTACCTATTTGTCGAAAAAATATAGCTATTATCTCTTCACTAAGAGTTTGTCTTGATTGAAGATAATCAGCAAGATCACCACCATTGCAATACTAAAATTTGAAGAAAAAATGAATTGATATTTATTATAAATTGATAAACAAACCTCCATAACAAGATAGACATTATTTTGACTCTCCTATTTATAAGAGTTAAAAAAAGATGAAACAAAAGTAACTCATTTAAATTTTACTTTGCAATCAAATAATGCAACTAGATTTTCATGTTTAAGTTTTGTTAATTCCTAAATGTTGATTATAGTAAAAAGATTATCAATTCAAAGATATTTTACTTTAAGAATTTTAATTTCTTTTTCAAGTAAACTTTGCGATTTTGCCAAGTGTTTTTTTGTTATTTGTTTTATAGCAACATGTTGTGAAGGATTCTTTTTTTTTGTTTTAAATAAATAAAAATAAATAAGAAAAAAAAAATATATATATATATATATTTATATGGTGAAGCATTTACAGATCTTAAATGACCAAGAAATACAATAGCAAATGCACCATGTCCAATCAAGTCTCGTTTGCTATATTGATAATCACCAATTATTTCAGGCATTTTTGTCTTGATCGATTTTTAAAGTGTTAATAATGGCCAAAAACCATAAATTATAGTCTAGAAATAAAGAGAACAAAATGTTATTTTTTGCAAATCAACAACTCAATAAAGAATCATGTGGTGTGAGTTTATTACATCGATATATATATATATATATATGTCTACACTCAACGTCTACAATCTTCTTTTGTCTATTAAAAACAGAATAAAACGAAAGTGTATAATTATTCACGATTTCGATATTATTAGCCGTGTGCTCTATGCGCGTGTTCGCGAAGGATATCAAGAGCACGATGCAATCAGGAGGCAGCTTGATGCGTATTGTATAAGCATCGAGAAGAAAAAAACGAGAAGAACGAATAAAAATATTGAGGTCATGTGATGAGGGTTTGCATAAAGCTTTTTGCTTGTGTGGCATTTTCTTCATATTTAACAAAATTGTAATAACAAAACAATACTTTTATTGTACTCATTCGCACAAAATGACGAAATTAGATGGCATCACATGAATAGAAAATGATTAGGTATCATATTAATATTCAAAGTAAATTTAGTTCTATATTATTTCATTGAGCACAACGATCTGCCAAAAACAAAAAAAAATCATTCAGTACAATAAATCTGATTATGCAGTTAACAAACTTTACAATAATAATTTCTCGATAAATCACAACATTCTAACAAATAAAATTCCATGCCTCAAATATTCAGATAAGACTTAAAAAACTTACATATGAACGATATCTTGCTGAATATACGTCATTTCAAGGAAGACAATCACACGAGATGCGTACTTAAATAAATATCTAACAATAGGCAGACATGAAATGTATTTTGTCTATTAGTACATTGAAAAGAAAATCATATGTCAACTACGATGCATTTCTTTTTTCTTGTATTCTATTGCACTAATTCTATCCAATACAAGGATGTCACACTAAATCGTCAGGTACATTTTCTTAGAAAAATGTTACAAATGTGCAGTATTTTCTTTTTCATTGTTCAAATCCAATCAAGTACATGTCATCTTTGTTTACTTTCAAGCATTTGACAAACACATTAGTTACTAGTTCATTCATTTCATTTAGATGCAATATACTAAATAGAGATTGTAAAAGAAAAAATGAGTTTTTCTCTTAATCTAAAAATCAAGGTAAAATTTTAATGCTGCCAAAACAAAGACAATAAGAACAATTATAAATGATGTCGCAACAAGAATAAGAAACGAATGTTGTGTCATTTAGACAAAAATTCCCACCCATAAAAGAAGAAATAAACCACCATAGCCAAGAAAAATTGATGCAACACTACAAGAAAATCGTAATAAATTATCGAATGAAAACAAATCTCTTACAGCGCAATAAGAATTTCTTTTTTCCAGTCACGTGTATATTTTGTACTTGTTACTTCATACACAAAAAACCAAGCCATTAAAAATAATCCAATACCTATAACAAATAAAAACGACTTATAAGTTGCTGTTGTAATCAATTGATTTCTTCATTACCTAAAAGTGTTATACTAAGTGTTGGAAAAGCACTTGGATTGACTGGACTAACATATCGGCTCATCTGATCAACATTTAAACGCACCATCTTTTAAGTAATCTGAAAAAAATCTATTTCTTATTTTTAGAGTCCAAATACAAGACTAGCAGTGTAAACATATCACAAAAAAAACTATCTTGATTTTGATAAATATTGCTTAGCAAAATCTATTCCTTTTTCGATATTTGCATTCAGTTCGTGTTTAGCTTGCTCGATCAATTTCGTTTCATACTCAGATAAGTTTCCTAGACCAATACTTTTTTCCACTCCATTACGCTAAAATAAAAACTTGCATATACAAAAAACAAAAGAAAAAGACAAGACATGTAAACGTACGCCAAGGAGAAGTGGTGTTGCGAAATATTTAAATTCTGTTTCCGGCGATGCAATATAACCACATTCAATAGTACCTGCTTTACCATTCAATGCATCAAGAATTGAAAATGAAAATCTTGCAGCAGCATGTGCCATGGATAATGTTGCGCAACCAGCACCAGCTTTAGCTTCGACAACTTCTGTTCCAGCATTTCGAATACGATAAGTTAAACTATCTAATTCTGGTTGCGAAAACGGAACTGGTGGCGATATTTGAGATAATAATGGAATGATTGTATTCCCTGAATGGCCACAAATAACAGGAACAAAAACTCGTGTTGAATCTAAACCCTTGAATAACAATAGATGTTTACATGAAATTTAAAGAGAATATTTACAAACAAACCTTTGCCTCAGCAACAAATGTTGCTGCTCGAAGTACATCTAATGTTGTAACACCAATAATTTTCTTTTCATCATAGACATTATACGCTTTCATAATTTCACTAGCAATAGGCACTGTTGAATTAACTGGATTAGCAATAATGGCAATAATAGCTCGTGGACAATTTTTGGCACATGCCGAAACAAGATCAGCAACAATTGTTGCATTTGTAATAAATAAATCATCTCGTGTCATACCTCTCAATAAACGATTAGTCGCTTAATTTCTTTAATCGTTCGAAGAAAATTATTTACCAGATTTTCTTGGTACGCCAGCTGGAATAAGAACAAGATCCATACCTTTTAATGCATCAGCTAGTTCATCGTTGCCAACATATGCTTTAACTTTAACTCGTGTTTCAATATGACTAACATCAGCTCCAACACCTTTTGCATGTTGAATATCATAAAGAGATAAATTACTAATCATGGGACTAAGTTTAAGTAATAAAGAAAGTGGTTGTCCGATACCTCCACTAGCACCTAAGACAGCAACTTTTTTCTATCGAGATATTAAAACAAATTATTTTAATTTAAAATCCAATTAATCTAATAACCTACAACTTTATTTGATTGTAGTGAAGTTGATCCATGACGAATTAGTTTTGGAGTGACAGATGGTATCAAAGACATAAGCCGTGCTGGAGTTTTGTTCATCGTTGTAAATTTTACAATTATAAATCAAATTTAATTCCATTTTATGGTTATGAGTTGTCGTCGAAAAATTCAACCAATCAGATAAAGCGCTATGTTGAATGTACATGTTATTAATCAATTGTATATGTAAAATTTAATTGAAATTATCTTTTTAAAATAAAATTAATGAAATGTATATACAGAAAAGAATTTGTTATATTTTTCATCAAACATCAGAAAAGGTCTTGAATCATTTTTTGATAGGGCCATCGCATAGATCAAACGCGCTGTATCGTGATTGGGGAACAGGTATGACATGGCACAACAAATAAAATACGATTGTTAGACGACAAGAATTATACTTTTTTTCTTCGTTATACATTTGCACATACACATATTCAGATAAAATTGAATATGGTCTCCTGCGTGGTGCTATATGTCTTTGGTATCATTACCGCTGTCCATGGTTTTTATAGTTCAAGTGATGATGTTATTCAACTTGATCCAACGAATTTCGAACGTCTAGTTTTACAAGGTTCTGAAATATGGTTTGTAGAATTTTATGCTCCATGGTGTGGTCGTAAGTATTCATTTTAAAAGTATACTTTTTCAATTCGGTTGTTATTAGATTGTCAAAGTTTGACACCGGAATGGAAACGAGCTGCAACAGCATTGAAAGGTATTGTTAAAGTCGGTGCTGTCGATGCAGATACCCATAAATCACTTGGGCAGCAATATGGTGTATCGGGTTTCCCAACTATTAAAATATTTGGAACAAATAAACGATCGCCAACAGATTATCAAGGTGGACGAACAGCTGATGCTATCGTTGAGCAAGCTCTTAGTCAATTGAAAACTGTTGTCAATGAACGTTTGGGTAAACGAGGAGGAGGTGGAGGAAGCAGTAGTGGCAGTGGTGGAAAAGATACAATTGATTTAACAGATAGTGATTTTCAGGTAGATTATTCTAATTGTGAAAAAAAAAATCATTTAGTGTACGTATTTTTAATTTGTAGTCAACTGTTCTCGATTCAGATGATGCATGGCTTGTCGAATTTAGTAAGTATTTTATTTTAAAAGTCTTATTGCCACATAGATCTAGAATTACTTCAAACAGGAAAATGCTTTACTCTGAAAGCTTTATAACTGAGAATTTAACGAAAAATGAGGTATAAGATTTTAAATGAATATTTGTATTGTTATGTGAGTTTTTAACTTTACGTGTAATGATAATCGATGATTTCGGACATCGATGAGAAAATTTCTAGAACAGTTTAGTGTTTAGACAAGCAAAGAAGCATTTTGCTAGTTCAAAGTTCACTTAATTGTCTTGAATCAAGAATATATAAAAAAAAGTGCCAGTTATCTTTGATCTTTCATTCATGATTCTTTCTTGTCTTATTGACAGAATGGAAGGAGATCCTTATAAAATTCCTAGCATCTGCTAATCAATCTGACTATTTTTATAAGTTAACTGCTTTCATGAAAACAAAAACTAATTAGCAATACATTAAAAAATTTCGATGGCATTAGAAGGGCTTTTGGGTTTGATGAGAAAGAAGTATAGCTCAGAGAATAAGAAATATTCAATACATACAATGTAAATTATGTATCTAGCTGTATTTATCTACCTAAACCTATCGAAATTACGGAAACGAATAAATATAATTTGAAAGTATATCTATGTTACTATTAAATAACGATATTGAATAATTTTTTCTTCTTCTTCACTTTAGTGGCTCCATGGTGTGGCCGTAAGTATACAGTTGAATGATTTTCAACTTGAACTTTTCATGTCTTTGCTTGTAGATTGCAAGAATTTAGCTCCAGAATGGGCTCGTGCTGCAACTGAATTAAAAGGCAAAGTCAAATTAGGAGTTGTGGATGCAACTATTCATACCCAATCGGCACAACGATATGGAGTACAAGGTTTTCCAACCATCAAATTCTTTCCAGCCGGCAAAAAGAATGGACAAGCAGAAGACTATACTGGTGGACGAACTACAAGCGTAAGGAGCCATTTCGCGTTTCTTACCTGAACTACAAGATTTATATTTTTTTCATTGAACAGGATATTGTTGCTTGGGCATTAGATAAACATCAAGCAAATGTACCTCCGCCTGATGTATATGAAATAACCAGTCAAGCTGTTCTAGATAGTAATTGTGCTGGAAAACAATTGTGTATTATATCATTTTTACCAAATATACTTGATTGTCAATCGAATTGCCGTAATGAACATATCAAAATGTTGAAAAAATTCGGTGAAAATTATAAACGCAATGGTTGGAGCTGGCTATGGGTTGAAGCATTTCGTCAACCAACATTGGAGGCAAGTGTTGGTATTGGTGGTTTTGGTTATCCAGCACAAGTTGCAATTAACTCACGAAAAGGAAAATATGTTGTGCTTAAAGGAGCATTTAGTGAGTCAGGGATTAGTGGGTTCTTAAAAGAATTATCAGCAGGTCGTTTAACAAGTCCGTTAGTGCCTTTGAGTGGCGTTGCTGATGGCAAATTACCTACAATTGATGATAGTGAACCATGGGATGGTAAAGATGGCAAATTAGATGATGTTGAAGACATCGACCTTAGTGATGTTAATATGGATGATGATGATGATGCTGTTACTATGAGAAAGAAAAAAGTTGACTTATAATTAATTATTTAGATTTATATAAACAACTAAAACAGAAGTGACACACATACGCTCATATTGTTGACATTCCTCTTGTGCTCTTATTGATAGTGTTTTTTCTGTTTTTTTTAATGTGTACGTCTTGCACTTAAAAATTGTTACACGCTTTTTTTCCTCATATTTAACTTAGGTTAATAAAAATAGTATCGACTTGAAATATCAGTCGGTACGTTCGGTCAACGGTAGTTTATTAATGATAGTATACTTTGGGTTACTATAACCCGATTCATGATACTGAAATGCTCGTTTTCTTGTGTCTTAGCTTTGCTTTCCCAGTTGTACCAAATAACCCTAACAATGGAGTTGTTTGTATTGAAAGTTGAAAAGACTAGATATTTTTACATCAAAAGAAAGCTCTCATCGTCAAACTAACAAGGTTAAAATATTAGTTCCCCTTGGCTTGTCTAGAGGGAGATAGCCGATTTTTCAGTGAATTTTCTCTGCGAAACCAGCTTTCCCAGCAATATCATATTTTTGAATTTGAACCTGAAACTTTGTATGCATGAAGGTCTCAATGAGACTAGCTGATAGAGAAAAAAATCAGAAGTTTTGGGCAAACTCTTCGAGATATAGATGTCTCAAGCGTACAGCTGCCATAGAAAGTCGTCAATATTTTGAGAGATTCATATCTCGAAGAGGATTTGTCCAAAACTTCTGATTTTTTTTCCATAAGCTACTCTCATTGAGACATTCATGCATACAAAGCTTCAGGTCCAAATTCGAAAATATGATATTGTTGGGAAAGCCGGTCCTGTAGAGAAAATTCATTGAAAAATCGAATATCTCCTTTTAGACACATCAAGGGGAGTTAATATTTCAACTTTGTTAGTTTAGTGGTGAGAGTTTTCTTTTGAACTAAAAATATCTAGTCTTTTCAACTTACAATACAAACACCTCCATTGTAAGCATTATTCGCCCTATAGACTTATACTCTCTTTTTTTCTTTTCTCTTCTCAGTACAATGCTTTTTTTTCTTTTCCGTTCTTTCTTTCTCCCGAGCCGATAGATCACATGCCTTTTTTTTCTTCGTCCGCTTTTGGTAGTAGAGCTGTTTCTCCTACTTATGTAAGGAAGTTTGTCTTGGTGTAGGCGTGTGTATTATGATAAAAACTACTTTCTTTGTAGTTACCTTTTGAGCATCATTCTTATCTTCATTATTGTTACTACTGAAATATATCCATTGAAAAGTGTAGGTTTCTATATTTTGAATAATTTCTAATTGTTTTATTATATATCCTTACATGTATTGTGATAGACGTTCATTAAGTAAACAAAGATGAAATAGCTGTGCTAATATATAGGAATTATATGTTTTCTATCTATTGGTAATGTTACAACAAATCTGAAATCGTTCTTCCTTCTTCTGTAATTTAATGATTGATCATAATGACCACGGCGATCACAATGGTCACGAGAAGGATATTTTAATAGAAAAAGTAAAATGACAAGGAGAAATATTTAACTTCTCTATGATATGACAGATGATCAGAGTTTTCTGTCATAAAACCAAGATGTTCTGTCAAGTACTGTTGACGTTTTGCAATCAATCTGATGTGTCACAGACAGTGAAAAGGTGATTTCAGTGTGAATAAAAACAAAGTTGTTGTTAGTTAGAGTAAAACAAAATACTAAAGAAAAATCTGTTTGTTCATATTTTAGATCTGTTCAAATGTGTTCATCGTCTATTGTTCACCTTTAGATTTCTGCCTAATTAAGACGATCATTACCAAGTCAATAATTGATTCTATAGGTCAGTATCTATGTATTTAACTTAGTTTTTTCATTTTTCAAACGATAGCCATTTAACATAATATAGAATTGCTTTGTTGTAATCGATTATATGGAATAAAATATATTTCATAAAGTCAGCCAATATATTATAATATTATTGACTAATCAAATCTTGTGATACATGTAGACATATACATATGTTTTTCAATAATTGCTTACTAACATAATTGTTATGAACATCTTCTATTTTGGAAACAAAAAACATTTTTTATAGAGATGGATATGATAGTGTGTCTATAGCATCGCACTACTGTTCATTGTCTCGTTGCTATGCACATTCAATACATGGAAGGATGTTTATACGTGCTAGTTGGATATTTAATTTTGAGTTAAAATCTCAATTTCATATTTAATAGAACCCTGCTATCTGTAGAACATCCGGATACAATAAGAAATATCCTACTGTAATTTATTTTCTCATTCACATATGTAAAAATGACCTGCATAAAAAATTGGTTGAAAATCTCACGTCTACTTCACAATATTTGATGTTTCTGATCTGCCTAATTATTTTTTATGTTCAATTCATTAATATATTTAAGATCAATAATGAATTCTCTTTTTTATAGCAAAAACTGAATCTATACAGAAGGCTAGCGTTACATAAGCTATAATCGAACAATAGAAACGAAAAAGACAAAGAACGTGTGTGTTGAACACAGAACACTTGAAAACAAAAATTGTAAATATATTTTTTTATTGACCATATAAAATTTTATTTCGTTTCTTTTTCTTTTAGCTAGCTAACGGTAGATGTCCAAACGTCTTCTCAAGGTTTATTTACTTGAATATTTTGGCATCAGGTTCTTTTGTATTGACTAAATTAATTTAGATAAATTAAATATTAACTATGCAATCCTTGGCTATCTATGCACGCTTATTTACACGTGCTCTTAGTGGTACAGAAACTGAAAATTTCTTATATAATAGTTTATTACGTTTATCAACATCAGCATCTGTTCATAATTCACAAACGTCAAATCGTCCGGCTATATCATCATCGTCACCAACAATAACACGTGCTGTACATCTAGTCACTGCTACATCAGGTTATTCAGGTCATGATGATGATGAAGATGAAAAAGAAAATTTGAAAAAGAAAAAAAATTCACCAAAAATTCAACGAACAAATCGAGCGAATGGTTTCGGCGATGATGCATTTTTCATAGCTAAAAGTCGTGTAGGAGATTTTCTTGGTATAAAAAATTGTCTTATCAATATACACGAGTATTTATCTTGTTAAATTAAGGTGTTGCTGATGGCGTCGGCGGGTGGCGCGAATATGGTGTTGATCCATCTTTATTTTCAAGTTCTCTCATGGCAGCATGCAAATCTCTGGTTGATAATAAACTTCTAGATTTGAATCCTTTAACATTAAAAGAGCTACTCTCAAAAGGTTATAAACAATTATTAGAAGATAAACAATGTATTATTGGTAAAGAAAATTTTTATTGAAAAACAAAGCCTTTCAACGTAGTCTCACTTACGTTTTTTTTTATAGGCAGTAGTACCGCATGCATTGTTGCACTACATCGAGAAAAAAGTATTTTGCATACAGCAAATTTAGGTGATAGTGGATTTGTAGTTATAAGAAAAAATATTATTGTGCATCGATCACAAGAGCAACAACATTATTTTAACTCACCATTCCAGTTAGCTATTCATCCAACAATTAAAGATCCGAATTTAATTGCTGATAGGTAAAAAATTAGTGTTGAACACTTTATTTTTGTATTTATTTTTCGTCAAACAATAAGAAATAAAATATCAATTTTGATTTATTTAGTCCTGATGCGGCGTCGGTGACGTCATTCAATGTTGAAGAAAATGATTTTATTCTTATTGCAACCGATGGTGTATGGGACAATTTACCAGATTCAACTGTAATTGAAGAAGTAAAAAAGATTAAAGTAAGTTTATTTATTTTGAAGAATTTGAAGAAAAGAAAATATAGTGAATCAATCAAATAATAACCATAAGTGATCTTAATTGACCGTGTATCTTTCAAATGATTTTCATTGTTTGTCGGATATTTCTTTTCCTAACTAATTCTATATCATCGTAAAAAACTATAGTTCCATTTTTCGAGACTACGCACAACGTCTTTACAATGTGGTGTAATATTTTGTTTTTGTATTAAATGACACGAAAATGCATACAAGAAATAGTTGACATTCATTGTTATTTTGATAAGAATACTAGAAATTATTTACATTTTTTGATCGTTAAGTTATTCATCGGATTAGTGTTGTGTTGTAAAACAGCATCACACTTGAATAGTTATGAACAAAAAAGAAACCAAACCATGTCTTATGAATCTTCTATATAAAAAAGCTACATTTATTCTAGGAGCCAACATTGGATAATATACAACTTGCTGCACATGCCTTAGCTAAACGTGCATTGGACAATGGGCATGATCCTAGTTTCTATTCACCTTTTGCTAAAAGTGCTAGAAGATCATTAGGCATCAATATTTGCGGTAAGTAATTAATACGTTTTATAAATATAAATATATTAAAGTAAAAGATAATCGTTTCTGAGCAGTTCTATACGATAATGTATTCATGTTAAGCTCAAGCAGAAAACAGCGGACTTGAAGTACAAAAGCACGTCAAAGTACACTACTTGACGTAGCTTGACGTAGCTCAAAGTATCACTCAAGTAGCGCAAAGTTAGAACAAGTAGCTCAAATTAACTTCAAGTCCAAAAGTCCACCCTTTTCCCCTTGGTTAAACTATTCAGATTCAGAAAGTTTAATGTTCACTAATACTTAGTTTTAAGTAAAAAAAAACATTGATATTATTTCTTAGTACAATTTTATATTCAGCTGTCTGGTGTGCCATATATATATTTAGAGAGAGAGAGAGAGTATGACTGATAGCAAACAACTAATGACACATTAAAATAAGTAAAAGTTTAAATGCAATTCAATTTTTTTTGTAGGTGGAAAACCTGATGATGTTACAGTATTACTTGCTGCTGTAACATCGACAGGTTAATCAATCTTCAACAAGTGTTCAACGTGGTGCTATACGTTTTCCATTTATTAAATCTAGTCGTGATGGACCAGAAATAGACATGTCTCTACCATATACGTTTAGAAATCAAATTTCTATGAATACTATTATTTCATAGAATTTTATGTGATTGTCACTGTAGCCAATTTACTATGGAAGATCATTTGTTGTTATTGTTCATTTTCTTTTTCTTATCATGAAAGTTTACCCGGCACGTACTGTGTATGTAGTTCGGATACCATTAGTTGTTACCCAGTCTATTTTTCTACTCTACTGATTCTCATCATTCAAAGAAAAACAAAACAAATAATAAGTTTTGGACAATAATATTTCGTCGATTCGATAGTGACAACATGTTGACGATCCGCAATAGACTTGAATGCGAGAAGACAACAATCAACGATAAATAAGTTTGCAGACAAGTTCGAACGAATAGTTTCATTTAAAAATCAAAATGTAATACAAGTTCTATGTTTGCTGATAGTTGATGAGAACCAATGGATTTCTCATGCAATAATCTGTTGAATCTCTTACTCAATGTTTAAAAGGATTTATGTAGAAAATGAAGGAAATTTCAATCAAAATATTTTTCTGTGTAACTTTTTGGAAGTAGCATTTAATTACCTACAGTTACAAGATACTACTCAAGAGTTTCATGAATTCATGATTGAAGGTAACGATATTTAAAAAGAATGTGCAAGCAATTATTGTCAACGCTATTATATTGAAAGTCAAGGAAAATTATAAAGATAAGTAAAATTAGGGTATGTTTGTGTGTGAACAATTCCTTATACGTTCATCCTTTGTTACTCTTACTGATATCCTTAAATATAACCGTCCGCAAACAAAATATGAAAAACTAACTTTAACATTTATTTGACACCGATGATTGCATTGATTAATCAGCAAAGTAATGCGAATATTTTGAACTTTTCAGTGAGAGAGAGAGAGAGAGAGAGAGAGAGAGAGTCATTTTCGAATACTAACAAGTGTCTCAGTTTCAATTATGCAATTCTCGATGGGACTACAAAAAAAACTTTGAGTACCTACGAACTGTTGGTTAGAAAATCTCAGTTTTGAACTGTAAGAATTTCTCTGAATCACTTCGCCTGTTGTGCATTTATGATTTTTCTTTTGTGCAGATTTAGAATTTAGTTCAGAATTTGATTATCACTTTCCAAACTTTTGCGCCTTCGTTCTAAACATCCGTTGCGTAATAATGGATTCTAGCTATTTTCAAATTAAATAATATCCTTAATAGAACTACCCAATGATCAGGCATATAACGAGTCCTACTATAAAATATATGTGTCTTTTACGACCAATAGAAATTTCGAATTAGTATACATGGCGACAAAAACAAGATAGACTTGAAACTAGTCAGTGTGAAATTCGTATCGATGTCGGTTCCATCTTTGCAATAAGGAGTTGCTTTACGAAGAAAACATACGTTAAACTATGGGAACGTAACTAAGACATGGTGAGCATACTAAATGATTTATTTTCTCTTTAGCATCCGTTAGATTGTTTAAGATAAAGATAACCCATTAATCAGGAACTCTGTATAATCGTACATGCATAAAAAATACTATTATAAGTTATTTCAGTAATCAATCAGCAAATTTAGTTTTTATTCATCATGAAAGTAGCGAAGCGCGCCACGTTCTGGTCATGTACAGTAACGTTTTTATAATGTTTAGAATCTTTTGTTATACTAAATATTCAATACAGTGCGAGAAATCTATATCAGCTTAGGTTGATTTCATTTAGCAGGCTATCCAAAAGCTATTTAAATATTTTACAACAGACTTCCACATTGATTTGAGTTCATAATAGTAGAGTTATAAAAACTATGAACGAAGGGTGCATTAAATGTAATGAAAGAATTTTATATGCCACTCATGAATCAACGCTGCTTTTCGAAATCGAGAAAATGTGATCTGATCGATAGTTACCTAGGAAGCATTGAATGATACGTGTTAAATAATCGCTACTCTTGATGCCAGTGTTACGAACGCTAGCAAAGAACCAAAGTAGAAATCTACTGATTATACGTACGATATCTGATGGATAAAAAAATGCACTGATTTCACTAATTTTTCTTGATAGTGATACAAAAACAAAGAACAAAAAGTGAATATGAAATTAGATGAAATGGGATGATGAGAATTGAAATAGAAAGAGGAAGAAAAACGTTTTGACAGGAAAGAATTATCAGATAGATATCTTTTTCTGAAAGATTTTATTTCGTGCTGAATGAATATTTATTTCAATCATAGTTTTTGTTACAAGAAAAAACAGCTACTGTTGAGGGATTCTATTGTATTTTTAAATCGATCTGGAACTCAGACTTTGCTCAATCGATATATTTTATTATTTTTGGAATATCTTCTCCTGAAAATGTATGATGAATGCAGAAAAGCACTCGCTTCTTGATAATGAGGATGTTTTTCTAGCTTAATATATTAATGAAAGATTTGTCGTATGAATCAACCGTTTTAATTTACTCGATGATATACAACATCGTGACGAGAGAGTAGTACATTAATGTAATTAAAAAAAGAGACATCCGTCATATGATGATAAAAATAACATACGATACAATTCTATAATTCATCCCATATGCTTTCATGCACATATGAAATAAAAAGAGAGAAAAAAGAAGTAATACATCGTGCCATTATAATACGTTTATCGCCTCTAGTTGAATATTTTTCTTTTAAAGATATGCATTAATAGTTCCGAATAATTCAGTTATCTTTGAATAATTATTTTATATATGAAATAGGATTATGTCATGTGATTGATCAAACGAGAATGGAATAGATACAACAATGTATATCTAAATAGTTTTTTCTAATCGAGTGTGGGCGACAACAAAATTTTTATATCAGTTTGATCGGCTAACGATTACTTATCAAACAATTGCGTATATAAAATAACTGAAGAAAACATTCAGTTCACTGAAAAGTTTTCTGCAGTTTTTTGAGAAGAAATGTTTTAATTTTACAACCAAAGACATTCAATCGAATAAATTTTCATGCATTTTGATTATTGATCGTTCTGCTTATATGGCGTTGTCTTAGTTCTGTTTGCCTTCTTAGTGGAGAATTTCTTCATTAAAGTTTTTCAAAGATAAACAAGAGAAAACGACAAAATGAGTCTCATGCATTTCAACTACTTCAACGGTTAGAATAACAAAACGAAAAGAAAATACGCAGTTGCATTTATCAATCATTTGAAAAGGGGTGTGTACATTGGTGGCATTTGAATAAAATTCCATAAGAATGCTTCGTACGCCATTAGTTCGCAATTTTTTTAACTCAATAAACCGACGACAATATCATCGAACACATCCACGTATTTTAATTACAGGTTAAATAAATGAGGAAACATCGGATTCGTATCCGATTGTTATGTGTACTGCAAAAACTGAGTCGATTTATGTATGTTTTGAATAATTCAGAGAAAAAAAATATTTTTTTGAAAAAATCCCTGTACCCCCCCCCCGCGGGGATGGTCGGGTTTATAATGACAACTNTGAGATATTGATGAGATCATTCTGTGTACAAAATTTCATGACATTTGGATGAGGCTTTCAAAAGTTATCGTGTTAACGGCCGGACGGACGGCCGGACACACTGACCGAATCTAGAGTGTACTCATTTTTTTGGCGTACACAAAAAGATGATGCATAATCTATTGAGTAATTGTTCAAAGAAATTTTATTCTAGGTGGATGCGGACAACTAGGAATACCATTAGCTAAGCGATTACGGTAAGACATTGACAAGAATTTTTTTCAGATATCTTTAATGATTGTCATAGGGAACTATATGGTGTTGACAATGTTGTACTCTCTGATATTGTTAGACCTTCCGATGAACTTCTTAAACAAGGTTTGCTTGAGAATAAATTGTTTGATTTAAAATTTCCAAATTATTTTCTGAAAGGAATCTATCGATATGCTGATGTCATGGATATTAAACAAGTTCAAGAACTTCTAGTAAATAATCAGATTGATTGGCTCATTCATCTCAGTGCTTTACTGAGTGCTATTGGTAGAAATCTGTTTCTGACAAGAGACATATTCATTGGTTTCATTATTTTCGTACTTCAGGTGAAAAGGATGTACCATTGGCAATGAAATTAAATATTGAAGGTACACATCATATTCTTGAATTAGCACGAAAATATAAATGTAAATTATTTATTCCAAGCACGATCGGTTCGTTACTTTCAATCAGTTGTATTCTTTGTAAATAGAATGGAATTCGTTTTTAGGTGCATTTGGACCTGAATCTCCACGAAATCCAACACCAGATTTTTGTATTCAACGTCCACGAACAATTTATGGTGTATCAAAAGTACACACTGAATTATTAGGAGAATATTTTTATTATAGATTTGGCGTTGATTTTCGATGTTTGCGTTTTCCGGGTATTATATCAGCTGATACAAAACCAGGTGGTGGTACCACAGGTTTGTTTAATACTTTTTATTTAATTTTTATTTTTTGATTTCATTCTTCAGATTATGCAATCGAGATCTTTCATGATGCTCTAAAATCTAATGCCTATAAATGTTATTTACGTGGTGATACACGTTTACCAATGATGTGGATTGATGACTGTATTCAATCAATTGTAAGTATAATGGAAGCGTCAAGTGAACAGTTGAAACAACGAACATATAATGTTGCTGCAATGAGTTTTACACCGGATGAGTTGACAAAAGCGATACAAAAATATAAACCCAATTTTAAAATTTCGTATGAAATTGATGAGCGTCAAAAAATTGGTAGAAAAAAACGTCTTTGTCTAGAAAAATAATGAATTCTTTTCTTTTAAAACTAGCTGATTCATGGCCGCAAGTATTTGATGATCAAAATGCTCGCCAACATTGGAGTTGGAATCCAAAAGTTGACCTTGATGGACTTGTTCAGAGAATGTTTGCTTATTTGGAACGACAATAGAATTTCACATAGTTATTAGTAGTTTTTTTTTCTTTGAGCTAACTAATTCAAATAAATTAACAACTGTTACAGTTTATTCACTTATGAGTGAACAATTAAGACGAAAAAACAACTACACAAGCAAAGAGAAAACAATATCTGTTGAATAAGGAGAGATTCGTTTCTAAATAACGAGTATGTATTAATGATGTTGTTGCCGTTTCAAAGAATAACGATTGAACTATAATAGAAAAAAAAGTACTTATTTAAAAAAATGTTTTCCTGACATCACAAAATTTAATAGAATACACCGAAAGAGATTTTATTATGCTGCATTAAATTTTTCCTTTTTGAAATCTGTCTTCTACTGACATGCACGAAAATGAAATGTTTCGTAAATACAACTAGCTGCATTTTTTCTCTGATTAATTACTTGTCTTGATTGATAGGACTTATTCCATTCAAATGGAATTCGTTGATTATTAGCTTGTTGAGAAAATGGCTTCATAGCAACATATGATTGGAGTTTTCGTGGTGCACTTGGTGCATCAATACGCTTTTGACGTTTCATTGTTGGTTTAAAATAAGAACGTGTACCATTACAATTAACTCCATCAAATCGATCCATACAACCTTGTTTTGTATCATTGAATATCGTGCCAGGTGGACATAAAAATATATTATCTCGACTTCCAACACATACATGATAAATATTGCACCAATCCATATCAGCAAACATTAGTTGTTGGTTTTTACTCATACAATCAAAACGTGTTCTAAATTTGGATAGGTCGAAAAATTTGAATTTGAAATTTGAATTTAATTCTTACGGAAATTGTCCGGTAGCATCAACACCTTCGAATAAAATTGAAGCTTGTTCAGATTTTGGTTTTGATCGAAGAAATGTGCGTGGTTGTAAACAAAGAGCTCCTTTCTCTTCATCATCAACATCTCCTTGATAGTCACATTCTTTTTTCTTTTCATTGAATACAAGACCAGCTGAGCAAGAGAAAAGAAATTAGCTTTAGATTTTTTAACAAAAAAATAATACGTACGACTGCATTCCATAGTTACACCAACACCTTGCTCATTACATTGTAGATATAAATCACAATAACGTTGATGTTCATATAGGCCAGGACCTTTACTTATACAAAATTCTGAACGTAAATTCGATAAAATATCTTTTTCAGCTAATTTTTCGATGAAAAATCTTCAAATAAAAAGGGTTTAATTAAGTTTGAAACTTGTTTTCTTCCTTCTTTATTGAACTTACAAAGCTTTTCCATTGCAATCGACTCCATCAATAGATCGTTCTTTAGACCAATCGCATCGACCTATTGTTTCACTTTCTTGGCGCCAAACCTAAGATGTATCAATATGGTAAAAACTCTTCTTTAATAAGAATTTATCGTGAAAAAAATACATATTTTGTAAAACAATTACACAAAATTTTTATTGAATACTTGTTAAGCATACTTAACATTTCTTTTCTTTCGTCTATAATAATTAATCAGCATTTTACATTTTTAACAAACAACCATACATTTTTCAAATTTACATCTCAACGATCGACTCTCTTATATAACTTACTAAGCCGTGTGTACAATATTGTATAGTATCAAAACCTCCATGACAATTATGGTAAACATTACAATAAAACAAATCTGCGTAATCTCCATTTTGTTTCAGCATGCAGAATTTTGTTGAACGTCCTCGAGTATTATTTGACCCTGGACGTACTGAATCATCGAGTCCTTCAGTATCTATTATGTAATATAGGAAGAAAAAAAAGAGAACATGTCACTAATATAAATCAACAAAAAGACGAACATACCAATAAATTTTTCTCGTCCTTTACATTCAACTTTATCTTCCCAATCACATTCTTTTGATTCTTCATTAAACATAAGTCGATTTGGACACCGTTTTGAATAATCCATAGCTGCTTGACATTGATGAAATCTATTACAATATTTAGCATCTGGATAATTTCCATCCGGCTATTCAAATAAAAATATTTTCTTTTTTAAATATAAACTATAATATAATTTATACGTACTAAACGTTTACAAAAATTTTCTTTAATACCTTCCCACATGTAATCAGCTTTTCCTTTACAATCAACATTAATAGCCCAGTCACATTCATTTTTTTCGATTGAATATCTTAGATTATTTTGACATGTAAATACAACATCTTTTCCATTTTGACATATATAATATCGATTACAATATTTTTCATGTGCAAAATTTCCATTTGGCTACAAAAAGAATATCAAGCATTTATACAATTCATTTATTTCATTTCATTTTCTTTTTTTCTTTCTTTTCAATTTACTTTATCTGAACAGAATCCACTGCTATCATTATTTTCAACTAATATATTTCCACTTTTACATATTGTTAATTCCGGCCAGTCACATCGTTTTAATGTTTCATTGAATATTAATCTTTCTGGACATTGTAATTTAACATCAATATCCGCCATACATTGATGATAAACATTACAATCTATTGTTAAGGAGAAGAAAAGATCAAGTTTTTTTGTTTGTTTTGTTTTTGAAAGAAAATTCAATCTTACATTGTGGATCCATATAAACTCCATTTGATTTTTCCATACAAAATAAACTTGATTTCATTGAAAGAGCAACAAGAGTACGCCCAGAGCAATGAACTTTATCCGACCATTCACATTTTTTTTGTTCATTATCCCAAAATAACTGATGAGGACATTGGCGCATACTATCAGTACCAGATTCACATACATGATATACATTACAGTATTCTTCATTTGGATATGATCTATTGTATAAGACAGAAATAAAAACTAATATAAATTTCATGAAAATTTCTTTCACTTGTAGAAAAAAAAGTATATGAAATAGTAGGAAACAAGTTTTTGTAATTCGCTTTAAAAAACAAACAGTTCATTGAATATTGAAAAAGGAAAATTAAAATTAAATTTGTAGATGATATTCAGATATGCGATGTTTATAATTATGATAATTATCGTATTACTGTGCCCTTCTATCGTTGTTTGCATCTTATTATATGTCATTAAATATAAATTTGACCTTCTTTACACTTTTATTTGTCATCATCAGAGAAGATTATGTAAATTTTGTCATTGAAATGACAATATGATGATGACATCATCATCATCATATATATTTTTATCAAGCAAAATCTTATTCTCGAAGACCATTCATTATCAAAATTGAAAGAAAAAGAGAAATCTTTTTTAGTAAATTGAACCTGGATTTTGCTATTTTAACTAACGATTAAACTTATTGGATCAAAAGATTTTAATTCAATTTCTTGTGGATTCAAAAAAAACAAGAAACAACCTTACAGATACTAAGAAAGATTTTTCTTACCCATCTGCTTTTCCAGTACAAAATGTTGAATTAAATTTATTTTCATGAGGCAACATCTTTTTTGGTGCACCGCAATGAACAGATGATTCCCAACCGCACTCTTTTCTTCTATCATCCCATTGTAATTCACCAGTACATCGTACAATATGATCAGTACCACCGATACAATGATGAAATACATTACAATATTTTTCTGATGGGTAACGACCATCTTGCCGATTAGTACAAAATGATGTTTTACTTTGTACAACAGGCATTGTTTTACCAGTACAATTGACATTTGTTGCCCTAATAATAAATTACTGTAAATAAATTATATTGAAAGTTTAAAAACATACCAGTCACACATTTTCTTTTCTTCGTTCCAAGCTAATTGATTAGGGCAATGCTCAATATAATCCATTCCAGCAATACACTGATGATACACATTACAATATAATGGATCTTCAAAATAACCATCAGCTCCAAGAGTACATTCAATAGTACCATTTGATATAGCTGATTTTGATTGTGATGTGCTTGTAATCGGATCAACTTGATTGTCATCAGGTTCAAAATAGGCTGCTACACGTGTTCCACAATTAACTTTTGAAGTTAATTCACAATCGTAAGAAGATTCTGAAAAAAGATGACCTTCTGGACAAAGGTTTGGTTCAGGCAGACCTGATGGTAAACAAGTGTAATACATATTGCATAATCTTCGATCTGGAAAACGAATATTATTAACACCCAATGGACAATTGAAACCAAGCTGAGCAAATAATGAGTGCATATTATTATTGTTTGGTGGCGATGTAGCTGGTTTTACAGGGACAAATGGTCGTGGTCGCAACGTTGTTGTCTGTGTTAGATATAATGGTCGACTTGTTGTTGCTAAAATTACAAGTTTATTATAAAATAAATTTATTCTTTCATGTGAAAATTACTGGTTTTTGATAGTTTTAGCACGGTTTGCGGAGGATTTCGCGGCCATAAGTGTTCTGGTATAGGATAAGGTCCTGGACCAGGTAAACCTGCTTGTGCAGCTGCTTCTGCTAGTAAAACAGGATTAGGTAAGAATGGTTTCATATAGTTAGTTTGATTTTGAGGAACTATTGATTGATTATGTTGTATTTGTGACCAAAAATTTGGTGGAAGTAAATGAACAAGTGATTGCATTGATTTTCGATCTGTTAAATGTTTAGTTGCTTCTTCTAATATTGTACTATTTCTCTCATATTGTTTATTAATCGGAAAAATTTTACGAACAATATGAGTTTTGTTGGACCAATCAACAAGGAAATCAGTATAATTTTGAATGAATGTTGGATTCGTTGAATTATTAATTTGAAATGTATCAGTTGTTTGATTTACATGTTCATGTGGTGGAGTTGGTTCTCGATAATCAAAATCATAATATTCATTTTTCGTTGATGGTAAAGACATATTGTGGGGTGAATACGTACTGTTGTGTGGCAATATAGTTTTTTCACTCGTAGAAATCAAGTCCGTGGCGATTCTTGAATCATGTACTGGAGTGATTGTTGATGGAGCATCATTTGTTGAAATATCTGACAAAAATTCAACAGTCGGCAATGTTGTTGATTGAAAATTTTCTAAATCTTCATTTGATGCACTCTTTATATCATCTTCTTTTTGAAAAAATGATGATGATGATGATGATGATGATGGCATTCTATCTGCACTTGCATAATCAAATTCTTGATGATAATTTTGAACATAAATTGAATGCTGTTTTGCATGAAGTAAATCTATGAGAAAGATTCAATAACAGATACATAAAAATTTAATTTCCAAAGAAAAACAAACCTGTACTAATATATAAAAGTATAATACAGAATAAATGACGTCTTGATATTGACATCCTTTGTTAAGTACTTAATTGATTAATATAAGAAGAACCAAAATCGGTTATACAAATGACAGCTGACAGTGGTCTAATCAAGTTGCTGTGTGTGTGTGTGTTTGAATGCAAGTACTCTAGTTTATCTCTACGCACCCTTATGTACTCGGTCCAGCTTGATCTCTCTCTCTCTCTTTCTCTTCTTTTTTGTACGTGTGTATTTATATAGATATATATATATATATATGTCATTGTTTGTTTTACGCTCGATGTAAATTGTAAAGAGAGGCGAAGAGGCTTTAATGTCCAGCCTGTGTTATACTACAGAAGAAGACTTTACACGAAATATCACAAAAAAATGAGAAAGAGTAATGAATGCAAGAGAGAAAAAAGATTACCTATTAGGCTATGATCACAGTGACTGTATGTAATAAAGATTACGAATTCAACCATCAAAAAGTCAGTTATTCATTGTTTAAGTAAAGAATTTAGTATGCAGTGACATTGAAAAGAATATGTTAGGTATCATACATACAATTCAAAACGTTTAACATATTATGGTAATAATTGTTTTTGGTTATTTCTCCTACGAATACTACAAAATATGCTAAATAATAATAATAATAATGAGCGATTTGTTGACTGAAAGTTTACATATAAGTTTTCAATCATTATTGTTCTATTCAATGATCAATATGCATCAATTCGCCAAAGATGATGTAACGTAAGTTTACATTATGTCCAATAAAATACCTTAGTTAATTGTAATCTTTATTCATGTTTGATTCAACATACTTAGATTTTTAGATACAATGCAACAAGGTATTAATGATAGAATACTACTGAAAATTTGAGTATTTTGCTCTTCTCTATCGGTATTTCAGAAATATGACTGTAGTACTTTTCGTTTGGAATCTCGTCTGTTCTATAGATACAATTGATGATGATTATATATGCTTGTTTGTACATACATAATATTTACTAATTGTTTGTAGTATTGTAAGTGACTTTCTTTCTTTCTTTTCTTCAATTCCTATTCTCATGCCTCATGTTACACTTCTACTTATTCTCAATCATTCACTTCTGATTGTTATGATTGATAGGTGTTCGAAAGGTTATCCTTGAAATAAATGTTCTATCTTTCAATAATCTCTTTTTTTTGTGATTCGTATTTTAGTTTACAGGATTTAGAAAGTTGATGTCTCGCATAGTTTTCTTCGATTAAACAATGAGATAATAATTGAAGAAAGCTAAAAGACGATAACTAATATTTTGTTTAGGAGATTTGTTCGCATGTAACTCATAATTCTAACGTAAATACCAATATATATATAGTTGATAATAAAATTGAATATTGACGCTCCATGATGCAATTCATATTGACTTAACTTATTAACATAAATGAATATTGGGCGTCAAATTTTATTGTAACATTTCTGATTTTTTTATGCGACTTTATTCTAAAAGAACTTCAGCTGATGAAGGAATATAAATAACCGAGAAATGTCAATATTAATCCTGCATTATTATGGTTAATATTATTTTTAAATTCATCTTCGACCTTCTCTCAGCAGAAGAAAAAATCGTTCGTATGATAAGAAATTCATTACACAACAGTCGTAGTTTCTAATTTTTTATTCAAGTAATCACAGATTTTCCAAGAATTGTTCTTATCAATATCGACGTTTCGGTGTGACAATAGAGAATTAATACAAATACAAAATGAGTAACATCAGTATACACGGTATGTCAGCTGCATGAATAATATCCAAAACTATTTCGACGACAGCAAATTATCATTATACCATTAGCTTTGTATGCAGATTTTTTTCCTTTTAAATTATGACATTAGTAAAGTAAATGTTTATGAAAGAGAGTCTCTAACAGAAAACTACCCAAGTATATGTTGTTCAAATTCTTTAGTAGCACATTCGTTTAGCTTGTAAATTTTAAGTCAAGATACTATAAAACAATAGTGCATTCAACGCAACAACATGATGATGATGATGATGTCAGTACACGCCTAACTATTCATCGATCTCTCTCGATCATATTCATCTACTTTTACCAAATGCACATTTCAATCGTGATCATTTTTTTATGCAAAATAATTTGTGTACAAATATATCATGCTTCATAAAAAGAAAAATATACTATGCAATCTCTGAAGACTACTAATTCTGTATCAAGATAAATAAACATAAACATCAACGAATGTTCATCAGAATTGAACCAATAAAAGTAATCCAAAAAACAACAACTACGACAACAAGAGACAAGAAAATATAAATTAAAAAAATAAGATTCAATCACAAGAGAACTGAAATAGTATCTCTAACTAGTCAAAGTTTTATTCATCTGTATTCATGCAAGACTTTATCTTCTTCAATTCATCAATTAATATCAATAATAAATAAATGTGGACACTTCGTATTTCATCCGAGAGTTATGTGTACTGCAAAAAGTGTATGTGACATATGAGTTATTCTAGAATGTCTGAACACCAAAATTATCATGAGAAACTAGACAATCTGATTTCTGGATGCAGTTTTTGTGCATTTTGAGACGTTTTTCAGGCGATGTTTCGTCAGAAAGCTACGATTTAGTTCAAAACTAATATCAGATTCAGAATCAGCGTTAAAAACTGAGTCGATTTATATATGTTGTGGATAATTCTGAGAAAAAAAAGTATTTTTGAAAAATCCCTGTACTCCCCCTCAGGGATGGCCTTGTCAATAATGACAATTTTTTCGATAATTCAGTCATTTCTTGACGGATCTTTCTCATCTCCGAACTCGACCTAGATATTGATGAGACAATTCTGTGCACAAAATTTCAGCTCAATCGAATGTAATTGTGAAGAGTTATCGAATAAACGGACGGACACACTGACCGATTTTAGTAGTGTGCTCATTTTTTGAGTACACAAATAGAATCAAAGATCATTCAATAAAACCTTGCACGTTAGCTGCTGTTTGCAACAGCACGAAAACTTCATCTTTACTAAAATCATCAAACTTCTAATTTTAAGTTTTTTTAATCATTTCAATCAGTATATGAACGGGAGTTATAATGATTCGATTGTATGAGAAAATATTTCTATTATCAAAGAGTAGAATCTGAATAGAACTCGATAGCCTGTGTCATTCACTAGAAGAAAAAAACGATCACAACAAGAAAAGAAAATGAGAGATCTCTTCATACTATTTCTTTTATTATGTTGCAATCCTCAGAAAAATTAACCACAAAATAATTATTATGCTAGAATTTATAACTACTTTCCCCGCCGATGATTAGTCAATATTCAACGAAGGAAATATTTATAATTATCAACAAAAAATAAAAACTTGACGTCTATTATAAGTACAAAAGAAAAAGAGGATAAATACGAGTGAAATGAAGCTGTAGTTACTACAAGTTTCGTACGTGTGCATATTTGAGAGCATACATCGTTATCGTTTTGCTTTTTTTAATCTTTTTTTTCTTCTTCTTCTAATGATATATAACAAAATATAACTCTCTACAAGACGATTATTTATTTGTTATTTTCATTGCAATAAAGTGTAAAACATATATGTAAATCAACTAATTTGATTCAACACTCAGTATTGATATTGCTTTTGTACACAGAACTACAGATACAATATGATCTACTTAATATGTAATTACAAAGAATAGTGTGATCATTTAGATTCACAATGAAATATACCTTTGATTTTTGACATCTCTAAATAGTAATTCACAAATAAAAACATTTATTTAAACAAAAAAAACTTGAATCTTCTTTTATAGAAATAAAAATCATGTCAATTAATTCAAAAATACTGTTATTCTACTTGACTGTTGAAGAAAATGTATCATCAATCTATGTTTAAACCAAATACGAAGATTCAATTTTATAATTAAATCAGATGTAACTTAAATATTCGACGATTCAATTAAATTGAAGATAAGAAAAGAGAAACAAAAATGCAAATGTTCGATTACACTTCATCATAATTTTTTGAAAACCAAATTTTAATCAACACAAATAATCAACAGTTTGCATTGTATTTATTGCTGAATGTTGCTGTTGTTTTGATAAATCTTGAATATTATTCGAAGTTTGATTAATCGGATGAAATAATTTAAAATTCCCTTGTTTAGCCACTTCTTTTACCGGTGGAAAATTTCGATCAACAGGAATGTTAATAGTGGATGTATGACGAAGTAACATTGATGAACTAAACGTAACAACATAATAAAAAGAATAAAATTATATTTTAACTTACTATGGTAAATTAGCTTCATACATTCTGTCATTGGATACAGGTAATGTAAAATGTTCAACAGGATGTGAAGTGCCACTTCGATCTGAATATGTATCACGATGTTCTTGTGAAAGCTAGAACATAGAAAACATTTTTTTTAATGCAATAAAATAATCTTAATTCACTTGATAAAATTTTCTTATTTCATTTGTTCGGTCAGCATGTGTGTTGTTAAGCGCATATTTTGGTGTATAAAGATATTGGTCACGACTACGACGACGATCGCTCATTACAAGTTCGGGTTGATGAGTATATGGTGTTGGAAAATATCCTCCTAAGATTAGTTATGAAATAATACAATTAAAAAATGAATAAAATGTAATCAACCTCTTGCATAAAGACTTTTGGATGAATTCAATGCTTCACTACGATAATCTTGAAAATATTTTGCTGATGTATTACCAAATGTTTCACCACATTGAAATTGAGTAGTTGGAATATGACCTAAAATATACTTTTGATTATCTATCTCTTGTTAGGGAAATTCTATTGAAATTACCTCGGTAACCTGGCATGAGTGAGGGTGGATAATAAGCTAAAGATATTAAACATTAATCGAAGAGTATAAGAAAATATGTTGCTTGGAATACATACTAGCATTATAAGTTGTTTGTAAAGTACCTGCAGCTCGTGACATTATCGTAAATATTGTAAAATTAGAGAGTCTTCAAGTATGCCTTATAGTAGATTCAGTCTAAAGCAAATAATATATATATATATATTTCACATGAGTTACATTTAAAAGTTTGTTGCTTTACATCGTCCTCTTTTAAATAACAAAATTCCTTTGTGTCGCTAGTAATCAAAATATCACACAGGAACAAAAATAGCTTAGCTGATAAATCCGCTATTTCGAACATTTTCCTATGTTGAAACGCTCTGCGCTCCCGGTGTACAATGATATTTTATTCTTGAATTGTACTAGAAATTAAATGATTTTGTCATTAAAACGAACATGTCCTGAACTATACGAAAAATAAAACATTGGCAATAATGAAAGCTTGGACATAGTATTGTCAAAACGTTCTGTGTCATATATGACTACTTATTTTTAATGCAAGTTCTGTGATTATATCCTCATTCAACAAACTAATTGTCTCAAAATGCAAAAGTTCAAAACAACCCGTGTAAAATAAAATGAAAACCAAATAGTCTACCCATGAGTTGAAAAATCTTTTGCTATAAATAGACATTGTCATCAACTTGCATCGATTCTACATGACAAGATAAGATGAAAGTATATGTGCTTCTGGTCGTGTATATGGATTTTTCTCATACGTATAATATCGACTGGTTGAACAGAAAATGAAATATTGTTTCCTTTATTTTTAGAGCAGTTACCGATGTAGAACTTTGATGACTCTATCTGCTTAACTAGCAACGTGTATTGAATATGTTTAGTTTTTGAAATAGATAGGTTCAATTGCTCGTAAGCATTTCATATCAAACTACATACTAGAGATATGCGTGAACATTGGACATTCTTGCTGTTGTTAAAGTTGGCATTGAGAAGAGCAATAAACGGGAAAGAGGAAGAAAAAACACCGTATCATCTTCCATGATATTGTCTTCATTTTTTCTTTCGGTTATCGTGTCTCTTTATATTTTTACTGAAATTTAGTATGATAGAGAGTAATCAGGTAGAAAGCTTTAAAGTATTGCTGTGCATGGTGGTGTATGTCGAGATGAAGTTACATCACACCATATTGCAGAATTTATGAGAATTATTTTATTTTCAAAAGGTAAACTATGTATGACATTGGCTTATTTTTGGATATTGAAAAATTAGCATTCAGCTCTGATAAATTCGATTTTTATGAAATTTAATTTATCTCATCATCATCATACGTTAGCGTAGAAGATGATAAAAACGCAAATGAATTAATTTTCAATTCGACTAAGATTCAGATTTTATTTTTTTTATGATTTTCAAATTGATGTAACTGGATGACACTGTTGTCTAGTATTGAAATGATGAAAAAGTAAATGCTTTGTCTTGATAGGTAAAATAATGCCGATTGTTGTGACTTGTTTTGCTCTTTTTTAGCATACTGTTTTTATATTAAATAAAACCATATCTCTAAACGAAACTGAATCGAAATTAATTTAATTGTATGTGGTTCAGAAAGCCGAAAATCGATTCGATTGGTATTTTTTGTCTATTTTAGGCGATGACAAGAGAAAATGCCGTAATAAAAAGAAAACAGATTAGAATCTGACTACATTATAGTATAAACGTTGACGATATTTGTCTCTTGCAAAATTATTTAACTTATATTCAATTTTCCATATGTGAGAATCCATTTGAGATATATTTTTTTGTATTAGCAAAATGATAGTAGGGAATAACAAGAATTGGCTAAAAGCCGCTAGAGACATTGATTAGTTTCTTGGTTGCTCATCGTAAAAATAAAAGAAATAACACCATAAAAAGTAGAAACATGAATAAAAATAAAATTAATTATAATCTAATAAAACATGTTTCGTTTTATTATTTTGCAAGAACAATTCTATCACATAAATAAATAAAACGGATCGTATCACCATATATTTAAATAAGAACCCCAAGAAGACGAAGAAGAACTTGAATTGGCATTGCTAGTAACTGGTTGTGTGTTAGATTCATTATTTACTGAAGTATCAACAACAGATGCTGTTTCTTGTGCCACCCGAACCAGTTTAGCTTGTTCATCAGGACTTAGTTTAAGCATTGTAACAAGAACAGGTATGATTTGTAAACGCTCATGCGCAGATTTTAATATGAAAAATTTTAGAATTATATTTTTCAAATATTCTAAATTTGATATTGATTCAGCTCGATCCATATTACGTTCAATACGTCGTATTTCATCTTTGAGTAGTGATACTTGTTCACTCAAACGTACATTAGTTAATTCGGATTCATTAAGAAGTTCAGTTGTATTAAGTAAACGATATTTTGTTTTATTAAGTTCTTCTTCAATACGTTGGCGTTCTAATTCGACGTCTTCGAAAAGTATATGACGAGGTTTGTCCATATTCGACTGTGAAGGTCGAGTCGAGTTTGCATTGCCGAATAGAACATTTTCTAAAGTTTTTACTGCAACGTCGCTTGATTGAAAATCAACACTGGCTGATTCTGATCCCTTTGAAGAAAAAAAGAACAAAATAATTTTGCTATTGTAAGAAATATAAAACGATTCTATTGAACAGAACAGCAACATCAGTTGTATCTCTACTGCTATACTTTATTTCATAGAAAATGAAATAATTGTTTTAACAAGAAGATCTTTCATATAAATACTTTGGTTACATATTTTGATCACTAGAAGTACAATGAAATACTTACGTAACATTTTTATGAATCTTTTAAAGATTTTCTTTTATTTTTCATAGTACTTGATATAGAATAACTTATGTACTAAAACTGAAATAGACGAAGCTTAATTTGAATTACTCAAGCTATATCTATTTTTTTGGGAATTTTCTTTTAATAAGGACTTTATTCAATTGATACACGTCTAAAATGAGCTTGCTATCCTCATAATTATATTTATATAATGATAGACAGCGAAATCTGGCTTGTGTAGAAACTCAATAGGAAACAGTTTAGTTACTTCTCCTTGTTGACGTTCTGCATAAGTCCATAGAATTTCATCTCTATTAATCTCATTATTAATGACAACTTGAGATGATTCTTTTTCATTATCAGCATTGGTTTGTCGCAATGATTCAATACGATTTTTTAATTGTTCAATTTCTTGTTTTGATGTTTGTAATTGATTTTGTAAGATTGATATTGACCGTTCATTATCCGTTTGTATTGTAGCTATTTGTTCCTTGAATAGAAAAATACATCTATACCGTAGGAAAAAAATATATAGATTTTTACTTGATACGTTGTTGAAAGTATTTCATTTTGAATTGTAACACTTTTCATCATGTCATGACTGTCATTCGTTCGTTTTGAACAGTCGCTTTCCATTTTTTCAAGTTCTATTTGATGCTTTATAATAAGAAAAACAAGAAGAAGTTCTACGATTCCATAAAAGACAAGTGTTTTTTACTTGTTTTCGCAGATCTTGTTCACGTTTTCTGGATTCATTAACTATTTTTGTTTGTACTTCATTAAGACGATCTTGTTCTTTCTGTAATGTTTCATTCTCAGATATTAATAATTGAATTTTATTACTAAATATATTCGTAGAGACTTTAGCACAATAAAGAACAAAAACTAATAATCTGTACTTTGCTTCACGAAGAGCTATTTTTAATTTTTCAATTGTTTCTTCGAATTCCGTTTGTTTATCAGGTACTATTGGCATACGCTCACGTTGAGTAGATTGTTGTTGTTTAAGAACACTTTGTGCTCGAATCTAGACAAATATACAGAAGAAGAAGAAGAATTCTAAATACGATACAGAATAAGATTGTACAAGAAATACAAAATACAAATACAACCGAACAATTGTTTAATCCTATCCCGTATCTACGTACATACGACGTTACAAAATATAAGCTATCCTATACTTTCTAGAATATGTATATCTTTCTATTTTTGTCTTTTCATTAGCAATTTAACTGGTTTTCATTGACAGAATGAGACAACAATCGTAAATGTTCCAATCATAAAAAATGTTACATCTTTTGGTTTGAATTGAAAATTCAATTCGTGATTGATACTATTATTAAGTGTTCGTGAAATATTTCTTTACCAATGAATAACTCGAATCTGTAAGTGGTAGCTATGTAAGTGATAAATATTCTTTTTCTACTCACTTATTTCGTTACAAATACTCCGCTCTCACCGAAAGTCTAAACATATCCACAAATGAATTCAGACGCAAGTACTAGAAACTAACATATGACTTTTTTAAGTATAAGTGTTTATCATTTCAATGCTTCTTGGAATAGCATTCATTCACTATCCTAATAATTATTTAATAATCGTTCTCTGTATCTATCAAATGAACTAGATACTGATCTAATAATCAGATACGAACTAGTAATGAGTATTCATATCGTATAAAATTGGAACGGAGTTGACTAAAACTAGAAAAATTTAAAGATCTGAATATTCTTCTCTCGAATAAGTCGCGAAAACTGATCATTTCAAGTAACATATGTATGCGAATGTTTTATATTTACTTTATAATTATTGAAATCATCTTGTAGGGTGTCACTGAAAAATAGATACGTAAAATTAGGCACATATTTCTACAAAATGAAAAAACTAACTAATCCTGTTTGACAACTTCCAGATCATGTTTTGCGATACGTAGATTTTGTTCAAGTAAATTAATTGTTCTCTGATTTGTATCACTTTGATTATTGAATCGTTCTTAAGGTAAACAAAAACTATAAATATAATACAATCAATTGAAGCAATCTACCAGTAAGCTCTTGTTTTTCAGAAAGCAATTGACTAACAGTTACTTTATTATCATCTAATTCAGTTTTTAGCTTATCAAGTAATGATCGTAAATTGTCATCATTTTGATATCTTTGTTGTTCAAGATCTTTCGCATCTTGTAATTCTCGCTTGGTTGCATCTAATAATGTTTTAAATTTATTAGCGCGTTCTTCTGTTTGTAATTTTTGTTGATCCAAATTTTGGATTTCTTCCATGAGACAACGATTTTTTTCATTAATATTTGTTAGTTCGTCGCGCACATCTTGAATTTCTTTGTCTTTAGATGTTAAATTATCTTTTAATGATTTTATTGTTTTTTCATAATCAGCTAATTCAAGATCAATTAGACTTTGTTTTGGTTGTTGATGTTTTTCTTGTAATTCTTTTTTAAGACGTGATAATAGCATCTTCATTTTTTGTTGTTTTTCTTGAAGATCCTATGAAGAAAAAAATTCATTTAACCGTACGACTATCTCGTTGAAAATCTGATGATCTACTTGAATAGTTGCATTAGATTCAGTTTTTTGAGTTGCAAGTTTGTTATTCAATTCGTTGATCGTTTGATTTAATGTTTCATTTTCTTTTTGAAAATTTTCTAACTCAGATCGTAGATTACTTGTTTGGATTTGTTCATTTTCAAGAATTGATTGCTTTTGTTCAATTGATTGTAATTGAAGAATTTTTAGATCGTTTTTAGCAGAGTCTAATTCTTGTTTAAGACTTTCAATTGTCTAAAAATTAAATTTTTAGTCGTCTATTTTCTTGTTTTGTGCAACTAGTAAAAGATTTGTCTGCAATTCATCTGATATTTCATGTTTCGCTAAATTGTTTATTATGAAATAGGAGTTTTAAGTTTTGAAAACTGTTGACTTTCAGAATAATATGACTCAACACGTCTATTAAAAATTGAAAATGGATTCAAAATATGTTTTTTAAATTTATTTAATAAGAAATACAGAGGAAAAGAGTGCAGTACCCCGTCTCAACTAGAAATAAATATAGAATTTATCAACTGATGAATCTATGAGCAGCTTCCGCTCAACCCTAGTTTTAATTACTCATAGAGATTAGTTAAAAACGAAATTTACTGTATATAACAACAATGAAAATATTAATAAATGTCATAAGAAAATAATGCTATCAATAGAATTGTTTTAAATTATTTAACTTAATGCGAATGCTCACTCTGATATTTAATCGATAAAAAACTTCAACGACGTACTTGCTGAAATTTAGTTTCTATTTGAGCTTTTTCTTGATGATTTTCTTCTTTATTCTGTTTAATTAGTTGATCAAAATTTAATTTATTGCTTTCTAAATCTTGTTCTAATTTATTAATAATCTATGTAGATGAAAATACATACAATGTTTGAAAAGTGAAAACAAAATTTTTGATTTACTTGCAAGTTTTCGGACTTCTCACTGTCGAAACTTTGTATTGTTTCCGCAAGTAAATTAATATCATTAATAAGTTTATCTTTGTCATGTTTGATTTGATCAAATTGAACTTTTAAATCTTGATATTCATTATTGATTATTTGTAATTGTTTATCGAGATCATCAGCTTGCTTAGTTTTTTCAAAAAACAATTCATTGTTTGTTTGTAAATCGTTTTCTAATTGTTGATTGATATTTTTCAATTTTTCTTTTTCAGTTTTTTCTGTTTCAAGTAAATCACTTAATTGCTGTGTTAGTTTTACTGATGATGAATAACGTTCATCTTGAGATTGTGTTGCATTATCGATTATTTGTTTTTGTTGTTCAATTGTACTTTGAAGACTATTGATTTCGATTTGATGTTTTTCTTGTTGATCTTGCAGTTGAAGATTTGTTTTATTAAAATTTTCTTGTAATACATCACATTCAGATTTGATATGTTCAAGATGAACATATTTTTGTTGAACTTCTTCATATAATGATTCAAGTTGATCAAATTTAGTTTTATCTAATAGGAAGTAAAAATTAAAATGGAAATCTGAGAAAATCTATGATAAAAACAAACCAATATTTTCTTGGTCAATAATCATCTGCAGTTCATTTATTTTGTCACATTGTTCCGCATATTGTTGTTTTAACTCCTCAAAAGAATGAAGATTTTCTTTCAGAATAGCTATATCACATCGTTGTTCTTTATTTTCTTCTAACGATTGATCCAGTTGAATGCGTGATTGTCGAAGTTCATGTTCGATTTCGTCGGAAATAAATTTGAAGTCATTGAATTCTAATCGAATGTATTGATTAATGCTCTAGAAATAGAAACTATATGATAGTGAACAGTATTTTTAATATTTTCACTATTCTACTTATTGAATGAAAATTTGTTTATCGAATTTACCGATAAACTTGCACTTTACTACTGTTAATTTCAAGTTTATTAGAAATCAAACTCTACTATTTCAAAATTTATTTAGTTTTAATGTTAAAGAAATTGATTCGTCAAATAAGAAAAAATGATTGCAGCATAATAATAGAAACTCTCATCATTAGGCATTCCACTACATTGTGTTCACTGATTTATTTAAAGTAAATACAATTGAATACTCATCAAGTATATGAACATCAAAAGTTAATCGAAGTCGTATCATACTGTTAGCTTACACTCTAATATTTCTATCGCTGAAATTTAGAAAACAGTTGTATAACGCTTTTTAATTATTTCTCTGCTCACAGTCTTCTGCTTCACAAATTCCTACCTGATCAATCGGTTTCGACAGACGAATTTCCCAATCATTGGAATCATTTGATTGATTTATCCACGATTGAAAATGTTCAAAAAGTGCATCTAATCCAGGATGATCTTGTCGATGAATTAATAATTGACATTGTTCATAATTGCCATTTTGAATGATTGAAAATAGATCTTTATTTAATAATGGTTCGTTCGCTACGTTAATACTTTGTAAGACATGGCATCGTTCAATTAATAATGAACACAGGCGAAGAAGACATTCAAGATTTAATGCAGTTGGAAAATCTTCATTTACATAATTTGTTATGCCACTTGACTGGAGTAATGCTGGAATATCTGATAGTAATTTGGATATAGGTAGCGTTTCGTCATCGTTATGATTAAGAAAAGAATCAATACGTTGAGAAATAATTTCATCGAAATTTTCATTCAATTGATTTATTGGAACGTCTGATAATTGTTGTGGAATTTTTCTCAATTCAAGATTTTCCATTTCAAAATTTTCTATTTGTTTACGATAATTCTTCACGTCTTCTTCCATTAATTGTTTATCTGTTTCTATTGTATTGAATTTCGATTTCAAGTCATTGAGTTCTCTTTCTAATAATTCCTTATCGCTATCGAGTGAAATGACTTTTGATCTTAACTCGGTCAATTCCTCTTCCATGGATTGTCTATTTTGATCGAATGTACTGCAACGAAGTCTTAAATCAGTGAGTTCTTCTTCCATCAATTGTCTCTCTTTCTCCAATGCATTGAACTTTGATTGTAAATCGTTTAGCTCTTGTTCCATCAAATGTTTCTCTTGATTAGATGTATTTAATTTTGATCTTAAATCATTGCGTTCTTCTTCCATGATTTGTTTATCATTATCGAATGAATTGGATTTCGTTCTTAACTCATTGAGTTCTTCATCCATCAATTGTTTATCCATTTCAAACTTACTCAGTGTTGATCTTAAATTATTAATTTCTTTCTCTGTTGATTCCATATCTGTATCAGATGAACTTGATTTCGATTTAAGCTCGTTTAGCTCTTCTTCCATTGAATGCTTCTCTTTATCAGATGTAATTAGCTTTGTTTTCAAATCATCCAGTTCTTCTTCGCTTAGTTTTTTATCCGTTTCAAATCTATTTAATTTCGATCTTAAATCATCAAGTTCTTGTTCTATCATCTGCTTCTCTTCATCGAATGTACGAGATTTCACTCTTAAATTATTAAGTTCTTCCTCTCTCGATTGTAAATCTGCATCAGATAAACTGGATTTCGATCGAAATTCATTCAGTTCTTCTTCCATCAACTTCTTCTCTTTATCAGATGTAATCAGCTTTGTTTTCAAATCATTGACTTCATCTTCCATCAGTTGTCTATTCTGATCAAATGAAGTTGCAGTCGATCTTAAACTATTAAGTTCTTCTTCCATCAATTTTGTATCGGTTTCAAATCTACTTAATTGTGATCGTAAGTTATTGAGTTCATCTTCCATCAGTTGTTTATTCTGATCGAATGAAGTTGCAGTCGATCTTAAACTATTAAGTTCTTCTTCCAACATCTGTTTCTCGTCATCGAATGCACCATATTTCAATCTTAGATTATTGAGATCTTCTTGCAATAAGTATTTGTCTTTATCAGATATATTTAATTTTGATCTTAAATCATGGAGTTCATCTTCCATCAGTTGTTTATTCTGGTCAAATGAATTTACATTTGATCTTAAATTTTTAAGTTCTTCTTCCATCAGTTTTTCATTTATTTCAAATGTATTTAATTTTGATCTTAAATTATTGAGCTCTTCTTCCAACAGATTGTTATCTTTATCAAATGTGCTCAACTTAGATCTTAAATCATTAAGTTCTTCTTCTATTAATTGTTTATCTTTTTCGAAAGAGTTAGATTTCAATTTTAGATCATTGAGTTCTTCTATCAGTTGCGCATCTTTGTCCGATGAAGCCAACTTTAATCTCAACTCATGGAGTTCTTCTTCAATCGATTGCTTCTCTTTGTCGACTGAATTCGATTTCATCTTGAAATCATTGATTTCCAATTCGAGATTTCCAATGGATTGTTTCAGATGCAAATTTTCTTGCTCACACGATTGTTTTTCACAGCGAAGATTTTCTATAGTACTTTTAGTTTCATTTAATTTATCTATAAAATCTTCTTCAGCATCAGTTAACTTTGAAAGAAGATTTGATTTATCATTTTGAAGACTCTAAATAACAAAGAACAGACAAATAAATCTAGATATGCTGTTAGAAAAAAGTATCTTTTAAGTTACCAATATTTCATCTTGTAGATTCTTACATGATAATTTTAATGATTCATTTTGTTGCTGAAAGCAGTCTGATGATTCACGCAATGTCTACAGGTACAATAAAGATTAATAGGCATGTATAGTAGATTAGATCCTACATTAAGTTCCTGTTGAAGTTCGGACTCGTGAATTTTACATTGGTCTAGTTCATGGGCGACATGTTTTCTTTTCGATTGTTCATCTTCCAGCTCATTTTGAAGTTGCTACAAAAGTCATAAGAATGAAGTAAATAATTTTTCTAAATGTTATTAAAACCTCTTGAGTTTGACATAAACTTATATTAGCAGTAGATAATTCACTTATTTTAGAATCAAGTTTCTTCTTTAACACAACTTGACTTTTAAAGAGTTTTATTAGTTCATCTGGTGGCATGGATTCAAGCTGAAATATTTCAAAAACAATACTTTATTTTACAGAATATATCTTTGTAATTAGACAGGCAAACCTTGCTACTTGCTGCTGGTTTCTCATCATTTGCAGATTTTCCATCTTCGCTCATGATGGATTTTCTATTTGTTTTCTTTCGTGTATCGAATCAATGGAAACTTTAGTATAATATGTTTTTTTCACAGTTCATCTAAAAATAAACAAAGTGCAACTAGACAGTGAAAAAGCTAAATACAAAACGCTAAGAGTGAGATTTCTCTTGCATAATTTACTTTTTGCAAACATATATCAAAAAAATTATCTGTTCTTTATATCGAATAATACAAACAAAAATATGGATGTACGGAGAATACTAGCACAGTATACGTATTTCAATTTAACTCAAGTTGCAAAATACATTCTTTTCGTACAATAAAAACGACTTGAACACATGCTTCTCTTTTTGGTTCACCTATCAATTTCTATTGTTAACTGTAAGATTTTTTCTTGTTCGCTGCTATATCATATGGACTCAAAAATATTCTCAATTCGATGTGAACGTATCATCAATTATAGTGAATGAGTAGAAGCACCAAAATACTCATTCATTTTAATCGATTTGTTCGGGATGCAAAATATAAACAGACATTTAAAAAAAAGGTAAAAGGAACGAAAGTATTTATCACATTTAGGATAGCGAAGACAATTTACTCGAGATTGTCATCATGACTAGAACCTAATGATTCGGAATGATTTTCATCATTCTCATCGTCAAGTGAAATTACATCCATACAACGGCCAACTTTGATAAATTCTAAACCCTGAAAAAGACAGCAAATGTTTAATTCAACCGTTTAGTTTTGTTCAATCTTACTTTCCAATGTTGTGGTTTATCTACTAAGGGATTTTCTCTTAGATCAACTTTGGTCATATTCGAAAACATTAATAATGTATCGTCGTTTATTTCTGCAATAGCATTTCGTTGAAAACAAATAACATTTAATGATGAGATTTTTCCAATCACCGAAGGAATATGAATGAAATTGTTTCCATTTAAATTAAGATATGATAAGTTCAAACAATCTTGTAAACAATCAGGTAAATCGTTCAATTCGTTATCTTCCACACTCAACCAACGAAGTTCTATTAAGTGTCCTATATCAGTGGGTAATCGTCGTAAATGATTTGATTTCAATGATAATTTTTCTAATTGATTTAAATTCATAAATATATTTATTGGTAAATCATATAAATTTAGATTTGTTAACCATAATTCATGAAGATTTTTTAGTTGACCTAATTGTACTGGTATTTGACCAAGTGGATTATGACTAAGATTTAAACGTAATAGTGACGTTAGATTCCATAATGTATCGGGTAAAATCGTTAACTGATTTTGTTCCAATGAAAGTGTTTCCAAATTAGTCAATGGTGACAATTGCTCGGTAGGTGGAATGATAAGTTCGTTATTATTCAAATAGAGATTTTGAAGGAATGTGCATAAACTAACAGAAAATGGAACAGCACGTAACGAACGATTGCTTAAATTCAAACTTGTTTCTTTTATGTTACTTATATGATGAATGTATTTTTCGACATCATCGTCATCGTCCATTTTTCTTCTATGAAAATATCAGATCTAAAAATATTCATCTGTTTTATTTAATAAAAAGTTTTAGTTAATAGTAAATCGAAGCAAAGCAGGTGATTGCACGAAATCAATCGTAATTGAAACACATGCTGCGAGAAAAGTTAAGATTCAATCTAACATAACTATGCTTATATCGGACGTATTATTACGAGGACGAGCGATTTTACCTGAGTAATTTGAAGGTTCTGAAAATGCGACGACACGCGTTACACAAGTAGGAAACAAGTAAGAAATGGATTCGACACTAATCAAGTAATAGAATAAATATAAAGCAGATGGCGGTACGTACTTTTCTCTTTGATTGATCGAAAAAAAAAAGAAGAGTTTAATTGAAGTGAAACGTAATACTCTTCGCTTGTTTTGAAGAGTTCGAGAAATTTTAATATTAGAATAAATTATTACAAATGTTGCTACTATTTTCACCTTGTAACCCCTAATTTATATATATATATATATTCCATATTTGACAGCGTCGCAACATTATCGGATCGAAAAAAGCTTTTTTGAACAAGCAGACTTTGCGATAAGTGAACTGTAAAACAGAATAGATACTATTTCAACAAGGCTATATTAGTCATTTTTTAGACGGTTCGTATTTTACTACGAAATGGAAAAGTGTTTTACACCATTAAGTAAATATTGAATATATCTTTTATGGACATCACCCCCTAATGACAATATTTGGTTTGCTAAAGTGAAAAAACGAGGACAACTAAATAAAGACAACTGCCAATATTTTTATATGTATTCTGTGCAAACCATCAACTATCCTATTCGTTATAGTGCGGTTAGCCTTTAACATGCTGTTGTAATGTCAACATGTTCAACAATTCTTTGATAATATATATATATATTCATGCATACTTCGCCACTATAAGCATTCAACATCGGCGTTGCATCTACTTAACCTTTAGTTGACTTGTAAAAATTCAGTGAACTTTCGATGATGAGCATGTTGTCTTCGCAAATGATTTCTCCATTAAATGGAGTTTTAGTGAGACATGACAAAATTGTGATATACATTTCATTGTTGCATTTTTTTCGCAAAAATATGTCTTCCGAAAACCTGACGCCTTGCATTGTTCAATAACGAATCTACAAGTCTTTTTATTTTGGATATACTTGAACGCTTTTTTTTTCTCTTTTGAAAATAATTTCATTCTGCTACCTTCCACATCCGTACGTTCTATATTAAATTAAAGTAGCTGCATTTACATATCAGTGATTCGTTACATTTTTGCATCCACTTATATTTTCATCATTTTTAAATGTGGTTCTTTGCCATTGATATTTTGACCTCTAAATTGAAAAATATTTGTTTCATCTAATTTTTTCTTAGTGTTACTTTGATGAATGAAATCTGAAAAGAACAAATATAAAATATTCTGTAATTTTTCTTCGTTTTCTTTTTATGGTCAATTACAGAATTGTATGCGACTAAAGTGGTTGATATTTCTTTAAAATAAAAACAAATCATAAAAAAATTGATGTAATTTATGACAAAATATAAATCGACATAATATTAAGTTCAATTGATGATAACTCTCTTTAAAAAAGATGATTCTTGTTCTGCAATGTTTTGTTTAATGATCGTTCATGTCTCAACGATGTTGAAGACATTGGCACATAGCTACTTTTAAATATATGAAATGCCTCAAAGTACATCGAATTACATAAGATAAACTGGAAATTCTTATCATAAAATGAAAATTTATTCAAATGTTACCGCTAAATGAACTTATTTGATTGATTCTCGGTGTCAAATTTAAGTGACTTTCATTCTTTAACAAAATCTTTCGACATGCCAGTATCGAGTTGTTCTTTGTACCAACGCATAGTCCTTGTTCTTCTCTATGAAAAATAACTTCTTAGACGACAATTTTTCCTCAATGAGCTTAATTTTATGAAATCTTTCACGAGTGATAGAGATTGCAACTACAACATGGTTCCCAGGCATTTTCAAACACACAGTTATTAATTAAATGGAGCAGCAATTTAAAAAGTTCACGGTTCATAAGATGATATTTCATAAGCTGATTCTGTATCACATCATTCATTTTATAGACTCTTTACGAGAAAATCATCGATAGCGATAAGAATGTATAGAAGATGAATACGCATTAATCATACAACATGGTTCGACCATGTTCTTGTTCGTCAAAGTTTTGTTTTTCCTAGACGACAAATATTTGCTATTCTTAGGAATTTTCGTTCTCTTTCATTTTGTCGTCGATCTCGATGTATTTATGACTTCTTGAAAATGGGCTCTCATAAATGAATTTTAATTCCAACAAACTTTGATTTACATTGTAGATTAGTGAGAACAACCGACTAAATGAATTTTTCTATTGCTGCATGTCGTTTCATACCACTACAATCAAATTCTTTATCAGTCACAAACTCGAGTTATCTTTAAAACTGACAGCAGTAATGTTGACTACAATAACAAAATTCAGAATATTTTCTGAGATAGTTTCTTAGTATAATCACAAGCGCTGAAACTATGATTTACAACATGCGCACTACACTGTTAATAAATTATAATAAAAACAACAACAAGAACAACAAAAGGTTTTCGTAGACGTTCTTAGATATAAAATATAGTCACGACACATACATTCGATAGTAAAGAAATACTTGTCGGCTTGAATGTCATATTGATAAGAATACAAAATTGCATTTTTATTGAAGGTTTGATTGATATTTTATAGAGCTTTAACAAATTTACGAGCATACTAATAGAAAAAACGTTAAATGCTTTCATCATCGTTGTTGATGATAATTTGTTTTTATGGAGCAACTGTACAAAATGTAGACGGTTGGGGTGCAGTTGGACATAGTCTTGTTGCTAGCCTAGCTCAGAGTCAATTGACTGCTGAAGCATCTCAATGGGTGAAATCTCTCGTCCCATGGTACTTATCAGGTAATTTGACTGCTGTAGCAACGTGGGCTGATAGTATTCTCTACCCGGATACGAATCCGTTTGATCATCCTAATTGGCAGTGGAGTCGTCAACTACACTATCTTAATACACCATCTTGGGTCTGTAGTTATGATCCATCGAGAGATTGTATCAATGATATCTGTATTGAGGGTGCATTGAGAAATTATTCAAAACGTGTTATTGATGCAAATTTCGACGATATTCAACATAAGGAAGCGCTCATGTTTCTGGTCCACTATGCTGGCGATGTTCATCAGCCGTTGCATGTTGGTTTTCAAACAGATCTCGGAGGCAATTCTATCAAAGGTAAAGTGTCATTTCTGGATCGAAAACGAAAGTAAAAAAAGAAAAGGTGAAATCATGCTTTTTGTAATTAGGCTACTTTATGAATCAAACATTTCAAACGAATCTTCACTCATTATGGGACAGTGGGCTCATCAGTATTCGATTGTCTCGTGATTATGGATCGAATATCACAAGTTATTATGAACATATTTATTCATTGATGCTTGAGCAAGGATCAACAAGTAACAATGAGGACTTCATTCAATGGATTCAGGAAAGTTTAAAACACGTTTGTCAACAAATCTATTTGGATGAGAGTAATATGATAATGAACGCATCAGTTAATTTCACATTAGGCAATATCTACTATGAAAGAAATATCGGGATCATTGAACAACGTCTTGCTCAAGGAGGTCGCCGACTTGGCACATTACTCAATCGTTTAGCCGCTGATCGTTTGACAATATCATCACGATGCGACAAATTGTGCTCGAACATGAACAAGTTAATTACGATGTTAATTTGTATACTTGCGAGAACCCTGATGTCCTAGTGTCGATTTACATTTGTCTTTTCCCCAAAGGAAACAACGAAATACATGACTTTGTAATATTGCTTTTTCACTAAAAAACAACTGTGAAATACAATTTCAATACGTGCCGACTTTTATTATTCAAATTATTTGTTGTGACAAGAGGCATAAAAAGTGAAACTTATGACACTTGAAATGGTTTCCAAAATAGAAAGAAACTATTGCATAATCTTTTAAAAATCTCCAAAACAACCATCAAAACAGAAAAGATAAGTCAATACTACGATAAAAGAAGAAAATTCAATGTGAGAATATAGTATACGAAAACGTTGCAACTAGTTCAATTCTCAATCTATCGGTACGTTCAGTCATCTAGAAGATTGAGAAAAAAGTTCGTTGATACATTTTGAAATATATGAAGAGTTCTGAATGGAAGCTTTCTCCTTGATTTTGTCGCATCGATATAAAATATTCAAAAGTCAGTCAGTATCGCCAGAAATTGATTGTCAAAAACGTCGTATTCGTTAAAAATAAGCGTAATTGGCCAGGTTAAAAAGTAGAACATACACAAAAAAAGAGCTGGATGTCATCCTAACACGTACATATAAGCAGTAGACTGATATGAATATTTCTATGAGGAAGGGAAGCGAAAGTCAGAACTGGGAACGATTGATTTGTTCTGTTTTTATTTAATTCAGTTCTTCTTCAAGACCAAAAGCGGGAGATTGTCGCCACACGTTTAAAATTCTATGTCGTCCGCACTGACGCTGAAATATGTCCAAGTTGAACTAATAAATGTTTCATTGATATTATGGTTGTTGTATTTTGAAAGCAAAATAAATTTTAATTAACTAGTCAAAAAACAAGATTATGATCGTTTAGATCATCCTCATCTTCAAAAGATTCAATATTCACTTGGCGCTAGTTAGTGTCTTTTGATTCAATAATATAAGAAAACAAAATTAGTTTTGCTTTCTGTAGCATGTGAGATAATAATTTTTTTATTACAAAAAAAAAAGAAAAATACGATACATATCTGTACATGCTAAGATCTTAAGATACGATATTCATTTGTTATCCACAACAAAAAATACAATTTATACAGAACTCATATAAAAAGAGAATAGATTGTTTTTTTGAGTAATATACATGTTTGAAGATCTATTTTTATATATACATGTATTTACAGAAGATCAATGTTGGTTTCTAAAATTTCATCTATTTGCGTGTTCGTGGCTTCGTTTTAGTTTGAGATCTTATCTAAAAATTTCAACTTAATGAAAGACGTTTTACACGTATTTTGATAGTTTTTACCTCGTCTTCATCTTTAGATGTTGGATGGTTGAAAAGGCGTGTACGAAGATTATATTTAGATTTTGGTGTTGCAATATTTTGTACATTTGATGTATTCGGAGTTGGTAAAATAGTGGGTCCTGGTGTTTTAAGTATCGATGGAGGCATACGATTGGTCGGTGTTGATGAACCAAATGCTACGGCAGTGGTTTTGACTTGTACAACTCGATTTACTTTTGTCGAATTCGTTAAAGCTAAAAATTTTAACAGCATCGTTTTTCTCTTCCTTTCTATTCTGTTAACAATAACATACTTGGAGTTGCTCGAAAAAATGACTGAATACGTTTAAATGTTGACGGTTTAGGTGTTATGTGTGCTTTATCTTTTGACGGAGTTGCGTGTGCTGCTGACGAATTTACAGCAACAGTAGCAAACGATGCTCCATCAAGTGATGTATCTCGTTGAATAGTAGCATAAAGTGGTGAATGTGATTCTGGTTGAATAGAGGCTGGTGGAGTTTCAATAGTTTTCTTTTTAGGCCGACCACGAACACTCGCTGTTTTGGGTTTTACTTTTGAATCCGTTTGATCATCCTAAATAGAAGAAGTGTTTTTGTTTTTATTGCTGACAGACAAAATTAAACAAAAAATGAATGTACCTGTGCTTTCTTTCTTGTTTGTTTCATTAGTACAGGAATATGTGTTTTTGTACTCGTCGATACATTACGTATAGTTTGCTTAGATTTTTTACTAATATTTGGCTCATCTAACTGTTGAAGTAATGTATAAGTAGCATCTGTACTAGCAGTTGATCGACTACGAGTAACTCGTTTTGGCTGTTTGATCTCTTGTTCGTGTTGATTCTAAAGTAAAACAAAAAATCTACAATTGTTAAACAATATTGATATTGAACTACGATGTAAATTTAATTGTAGTTTTTGTCCATTATCTATATTTTATTTTTTTTCTTTATTGATGAAAATCATTCTGAATTTAATCAAGATTCGGCATGCAACAAAAGTATGAAAATCACACTATATGACATGTAGGTATGGAATACGCAGTGAGCAACGTATGAAACGGCAATAACTTGAATTGTTTTCAACTCATTCAAGTGAAATATTCCTATCTATTAAACTATACGAAAAGAAAGTTTCATTTGTGGATAGAAAACCAAACTAGAACAATGATATTAGAGAATGCCATATAAATGATATCCTTCGAGGTGTTAGACGACTTCCTAAAGACAATCAACAATATATACACAGGCTGAACATTTATTTGATGTTCGGTTTACTTTCAATGTCTTATAAAACGCATCAAAATGTTGAAACTTTATACGTTTGATTGTTAAAGATAAACATCTGACTTGACTAGAAGTATTGCCTATTGATCAAGCTGATTTTCTACGCATATGATTAGATCTATCAAGGAGTTCATGATCAAAAAACTATATTTGGCAATAGATATTGAAAATAGAATAAAAAATATTAATGGAATTGCTAACTTGATTGGATAGTCTTAATGCTTTTTGACTGTAATTGTGTTACGCATAAGAAGAACTGAATTTCTTCATTCGACAAAATCTTATGTCGAATGAGATTTTCGCATAAATATGGATGATTACACTAAATTACTTTGACTTATAAAGCACTACAATAATACAATATACATAATTCTTCTATTGAGAATTTATCCCTCGTCGAATCTTAGTACTGCTAAATCAAAACTATACTATTATTTTTAACGTTAACATATACGTTCTATGAATTACCTCGTCATTAGTGCGTCGTTTTGATCGAATACTACGTTTTTGTCGTTTAGTAATTGATTGTTCTTCATTAATAGTTGTTGTTGATGTTTTCGCATCATACATATTAATGTTTGCAGCTAATTTCATTTTTTCATTTTGATATATTTCATTGATTTCTATTTTTAGTGCATCAAATTTAACTTGTAATGTTTTAAGATCATGATTTGTTTGAATAAAATCATATTGAACTTTTTGATATTGTGTTTGTTCATTACGTAGTTTATCTTCTAACATTCGTACTTTTTTTTCTGCATCTTGTTTACGATAAAGTTCAAGACCAAGATCACGTTTTAAACGTTGATTGTCATCTTGAAGATGCTGCTCACGTTCTTGACATTGACGTTTATCTTGGTCATTCTGTTCAATAGTTTTTATATGTTCATTGGTTAAACGTTCGAATTGTTGTTGAACAGTTTGCAATTGTTTTTTTAATGAATCCATTTCTTCATGAGAATGTAAATTTTTTTCATATGATTGTTTTTCTAATTTAAGTAATTTTTGATGATATTGTTTTTCATTTAAAATAAGATTATTATATAATTGTTGAGTATGATTATGTTTATCTTGTTCAAGACGGATATCTTTTAACAATATTTCATTTTGTTTTACTAACTATTAAAAGAAACTTAATCAGTATAACAATAGCAAAAAATAGAATATTTTTACTGATTGTTTTTCATTCACTAATGTGTCGATTTGTTGACGTTGATCAAGAAGATAGTTTACAGTCTGTACTCGCTCTTGACTAAATTAAAGAAACGTAAGAAAAACAAAAGAACAATCAGTGTTCTACTTACTGTCGCTCAATCATAAATGTTCGTCGAGTTGATGCTTGTTTTTGCAATAATTCTAATGCTTGTTTTGCGCAATATTTCCAAAAGTTTAACTAAAACCATAAATCAATCAAAATTCGAAGGAAAAAAAATTTCTTACCGATTTCGTATTTGTCGGAATTATCAGTGTTGCACCATCAATCGTTTGTACGTCAAGTTCTATGAATGAGAATCAATTCATATTGATCATAGCGAAAACATCCCAGTCGAATGTCGATTATATGATTTGGGAACTCAATAGTAACTATAGTGTGCTGCAAATTTATGTAAGAATTCAAACAGTTTAAAGATATATAGACAAAGAGGAAAATTTCACTTCGAAATTCATATGAAATCGAAATTATAGCAATTTTAGTACACGTTTTATAGCGTTCAATGTCTCCATCATTATTCGACTATTTGAAAACAATTAGATATATTTTCTTTTTCATCTTAAATAAAAGACTTGGCGTTTTCTTATTTTCTATCGTCTTATTGTTTTGAGATATACATTATTTTCTGAAACTGTTCAGTTCTGTATAAGAATGATCAAATTATCATCATTGAGAAAAAAATCGCCTTCTCCAATCAAATCCTAAATAAATTGTAGCTCTTGATAACATTTAGAGAGATTAGTTTACATATGAGTACTACGATTCGTAGCACGATAGAACATTTTATGATGGGTAATAAAGTAAATTTTGATTAGGCATAATATTTTGACCTCACATGCAAAAATACTAATCAAATAAATTCTTACCTTCTATTTCATCGTTGTCATTAATAGTTTTTCCGTGCTTCGTTTTCAAAGTGCTATGTCTTCCAAGACGTTTTGGAGCTTTATTTTTCGATTTACGTTGTTGTCGAATTACTGCACAACTGTGCTTCGATTCAACCGGCATGATAACGGTCTACAGGCAAAAATATTTAATAAAATGAATAAAACAATAAAAATCTTATTAGCAAACCTTTTGTGCCAATGCACAAAATTTCAATAAATCATTTGTTTGTGTAATGAATGTTGCACAAGGATTAATATTACAACAGATAATTGTTCGACCACGACCAACAAAAAATGGACGAAAAATACTTGTTAATACACTATTTCTATAGGGTACAAGCATTTGTTTTCTATCAAATAAAAATTCTAAATATTAATTTAACTATTCAAAATTATATTTTTTCTTACTTGGCCGATTGATTTTCATTTAAAACTCGAATACAATCTTTAAATGTCATTAACGATGTATTTATATTACAAGTTTCAGTCAATTGTTTCCCAGTACCATTCACTGGTTCATTGCCAGCCAAATCACAAATATCTATTAATGAAATTAAAAGTCAAGAAAAACTATTTTTCTGTATAACCTCGTTTAAAATAAAAATATAAAGTTTGTATACGTTCTTAACTCTCCTACAAGTTAGTTTAAGTGAAGTCTCTTTTATATTTTAGTTATTTTACACGTCTATTAAAGATAGTGAGAAATTTAATCTATCTAACTTGGTACTACCATGTCAAACATTCGCATTCTTCACTTTGTCGTCTTATCATTTTCATATTTCATTAAATATGATATATATCATCACACTCTCCAAAAGCAATATCGTCAATTAGTTCATCATTTTTCTTCTTATTTTCTTACACATGTGACTCATATTTGGTTCTTCATCAAATTCATTCGTTGTAATAAGCGTAATACAAAGTACAGCGTGCGATCTTGATGATGCTTCATTAAGATTTGTTTTTGATGTAGAACGATTAACTAAACCAAATTTAATGATATCTTCAGCCTCTTTTAGATCAAATACAGGTATTTGTATTAGATTTTTAATAATTGTTGAATGTTCATTTTGCATAAGACGAAGATTTTTACGCATTTTCATATCTTTCGGTTGAACAAGTAAATCAACGATATTTTCATTATATAATTCAAAAAACGATATCCATATTGAATAACGTTCATCTAATCATTTTCAAAAAAAAAGCAATACATGTTTGTTAAATATTTATTTATAAATCTTCTTATTTTACCTTCTATAGAAAGATCTTCGAAAGCGTTTTGTTGTTGAATTAGTTTTGGTAGGCGCATTCGTTGCTGCAAAAAACAACTCATAATTATATAATCCTTAGAAAAAACTCAAATAAAAATATCACCTTCTCGTCTTTAAAAATATAATTTCGAACAGCTACTTCCATATTAAGATCACAATCAATTGTTGGCATTAAATTCTCAAGACCAATAGGTTTAAATAAAACTTTCTCGTCAATATTTGAACCAACATTAAGAAATATTCGATGAAGACAGTTAGGTATTAAACCAGGTTCATCAGCTGTACCAAACATTGTATGGGTCTTACCTAGAATGTAAAAATAGTAAATAGAATGTATTGAACAAGAACTACATACCACTATTAGTTAAACCCAGTGTACAAAGAAGTAAGTTAGAACCAGTAAAAATTTCATTCGTAGGTTGAGCAAGAATTTGTTCAAATAATTCTTTTTGCTTACATTGATCATCAAATATTTGTGTGACCTTAAACAAAAAAAGGAAGTTAATTGAGTAGATTACTTTATTTTATTTTGACGCGTTTTAATCATATATGATGATGATGATGCGAAATCTAACATTTTTATAATTGAGAAAGATAATACCAAAACTTTTCTGTACCAATTGATAATTATAAATGCTATAGAAATTTTTCCTATTTTCTTTCAAATAAGAATTAGTATCTATCTCATTTCTATTCAAAACCATAATATACCTCGTATTCATTGTATGATGTTTGTAAAGTACGAATTGTATTGTTTATTGTTGGATAAAGCTTAACTGCAACATGTTTTTCATCAATAATATCGATTAATTTTTGATTTTCGCTACGTTCAAGTTCATCGCTAATAAATGGACGAATACGTAAATAAACATTCAATGGAGGAGCATCACGATGTTTGTTAACTGTTTTAGTTATTGTTTCAATGCATATTGATGTAACTGCTATTTCTGTTGTATTCATACTTTGTGCAATCATTTGAACAGCAACAAATCTTGACTAATCAACACTTCATAAAATGAAAGAGGTTTTCATTAACACAGAAAAGTAAAACATATAACTCAGCGATTGACAAAAAAAATTGAGTTTGTTCAATGTGACAAAGATCAACGAAAAGAGCTCTGAGTAGGGATGTTCCTATTGGTTATTTAACTTGACCGGGAACAAAGAAATCATATTTATGAAGTGATTATTTTCCTATTTAAAATAAATCACATTAAAATTAGTTCGCTTTAAAAAAAAGTCTATATGAGACAAAAGATTGAGTTTTATTATTTGAAAATAATCCGTTTTACCTTTGTAGATGTCGTCAGTAATGAGCAATACAAGAGTACGATATGATATTATATATCTCTCGCATTTTCTAGATTGATGTAATGGAAATTCAATCATTTGAAATTTATCTTAGAAATATCAAATAAGAGAAAAGATATTCGTTTTTTATAAATCCTGAGATTCATTGATTTTTAATTATATTCTGAATGTATGTGATCGTTCTATTTAACAAATAACTAATCATAAATACTTCCTTCGAATAAAAATCTATCTTTAAGTCTAATGCCTGGATTTTCTGCAACATCCATCCAAAATTTTCGTACAGGAAACCAATCAGTATGCTTTGATAATGTTAATACACCAAGTACAACAGGATGATGATGTAATGAAGATTTTTCAAGAAATATTAAATCAATTGTAGTATCGCTGAAAGTTATTGTCTCTGGAATTTGAAAAAGAAATTCTTCATCAAATCTTGGATTGAATGAACGATCAGCTACTTTTGTTCGTTTTGTTTCGTAAATATCAAATGGACTTTGAAAAACAATTTCAATATATGTTTCTAGAAAAAATGAAACTATTTCATAATTTCATTTATAGAATAGTAAATAGATTATATACCGGGCGCTATTAATAATCTTTCAGATTGCAAATGATTAACTCTTACAATAGTTAGTGATAGTTGTTGTCGAGATGGCCAATATGCAGCTTCAATTTCGACCTGACCAATATTGATATCATGTGTAGACTTACGAAAACAAAAATAATATAGTTAATATCATACTTTCTTAGTTGAAAAAAACGAGAAAAAATCTTCTTGAAACGAATAGAAATAACTATTATAAAATAATCTATTGATAAATTCAATTCTAGGTGGAAAAATCACCGATTATTGAACAAAACAAGCACGATTCATTAAAATCAATTACATTACTTCAATACTCATTTATTATATCAATATAATAATACATTATAAAGTAGAACATATTAACTACATAAATAATCAATTCAATGCGATGTATTGTTCACTAATGATACTTTCTTTAATTCTGATAAATTAGTATTCTTATGTTTTCTCTGTCTTTTACTAAAAACTGTAGTTTCCCCCCTATTTATGGAACTTCTCTTGAGTTATATGAAGTCTAGAATTATTATTAGTATCAATTGGATCATCTAAATAGTTGTTATATATGTATATCATACGAAAACTTTCTTTTAATAGCAAATAAAAGATTTTTTCTTATTTATATTTCAACTTACTATTTTATGTGATCTACTAACAGGTGTAAGTTCTCGTAAAAATATTCTTGATGCTCCATGTGGAATATTTTTAACATGTAAATGTGCCATGCCCCAAAATTTCGAACTTGTATATTTATTAATTGGTAGCGATTCAATTTTTATTACAACATATAATTCAACTTCTTGTTGAATGATCCAATCTCCAGGCCATAAAATTAATTCTGCTGAATAATTTGTTGTTAAATGTGATTCATGCATCGATTTTTCAAGAACAAGTTCATGTTCGATTGGTTTTCGTACATGTACTTCACAACGTAAATGAAAATCAGATAAATGAAATTTAAATATAATATCATGTAATAACAAACGCAAACAACTCTCATATTCATCACGTTGTATTTCAAGTATCAAACAAAATTTTAAATAAACCATATCGTACGCTCTATGTATTGGTTTTTCTAATAGATCCATGTGATATTTAGCGAGTGCTTGTTCAAATTCAACAAGATTGTGTGTTATTGGAAAATTTATTATTGGATCGATGTTTTCTTTATGACGAAAAAGTCTAGTTACTGACGTATCTTCTTGTTCTTGTTCTTCTTCTTCGTTTGAATCAGTTCTAATAATTCTTAGTATTCCATCAATACTGAGTACTTCACGAAAAGCAAATCTTTTTAGTTTATTAGCTGCTTCGGCTAAAGCATGTAATCCATGTGATATGTTATGATGATAAAATTGTTTAGTTGGATTTTGTTCTTCCGATGAAACGATACATTCATCCATACGAAGAATAATACGTTTAGCACGTTCAAAATTTGGTCTCAATTCTTTTCTTACATCTTTGATTTGTCTTGGAATGATAAATGAAGTATCAGTTATACACATAATATCGGGCATATTAGCAAATTTATTGTTTGTACGATTCAATGATAAACCACCCTTAAATGCAAAGAAAAACGATAATTCCATTATTTTTCTCCTATCAAAAAAACAACAATTGCTTATAACACGTAACAGATAGATGTATTTTTGCGTACACCTTATTTTATGCAATTGTTGTGATACAACAGATAATCGATGAGAAAAATATCTCTAAACATACTTGCGACATAGATTCTGATCTACAACGGTGAGCTAACTTCCACTATTGTTTACGTCGATAAAATAAACAGTTTTTAGTTTTATTGTCGTTGTTCGATTGTTCATCGACATAAGTTTAACAATGATTGGAAAGTTGAAACGATGAAAAATACTTATCGATCAACATGTTCATCTTTCTTTTTATGGATTTTATTACGTATTGAATGACATATGCTGTCTTCTGATGATTCTGTATTGCACTTGATTCTCTGATTTTCTTCTTCTTCTATTTCCTTTGTATAGTTATTTGCTTTGGACACACGAATGTTCTACATCATTTTTTTATGACTTTATAATAGAGGAAGCGATTAAATGATTAGAAGGAATACTATGGTATAAAGAATAAAGATATTTTCATTTTATACATAAAAGAAAGATTAAAATGGATTTGCAATTCTTTTGTTTTCGTTAAAAACGACAAAATATATGTATTCGAAGTAAATATCGAATTAAGAAAAACTTTCATTTATCTAGAAATCTCACCACTCAATTTATCACTAACAACTCTTATCTTTCAGTTGATTTTATTTTTGTAAAGCTATGCTGGAATAAAATCGATCATTAAAATTAAATATCGCCATGCGATGTTTCATGTGATATATACTGACATTTGTAAAAACATAACACTAATTAAATCTGTTTTCAAATTGAATTATAATTATCTCTTGAACTAAAAAAAACAAGTTATATTGTTTTAATAATAACTAAAAATAAATTAAATGCGAAAACATCGGATTCGCATCCAATTGTTGTGTGCTTCAAAAGCTGAGTCGGTTTATATATGTTGTGAATAATTCTGAGAAAAAAAGTTTAAAAAAAAATCCCTGTACCCCTCCCTCGCCCCGTCAGGGATGATCTGGTCAATAGTGACAATTTTTTCGATAACTCAGCCATTTCTTGACGGGTCCTTCTTATCTTCGAACTCGACTGAGATATTAACGAGATCATTCTGTGTACAAAATGTCATGACAATTGGATGAGGCTTTCAAGAGTTATCGTGTTGACGGCCGGACGGACACGCCGATCGAACCTAGTGTACTCACTTTTTGAGTACACAAAAATAAATGGTAACAATATTTCAGACATTGAAAAAAACATCTGCTTACCATGGCATGAGGAAGTCTCAGAGAATCGCAGTGTTACTTTGACTTTTAACTGCGTGTTTCTCATATGAAATAGTTTTGAAGGTGTTTTGGTGTACTCAAAAAGTGAGTACACTAGATTCGATCAGTGTGTCCGACCGTTAACACGATAACTCTTGAAAGCCTCATCTAATTGTCTTGAAATTTTGTACACAGAATGATCTCATTAATATCTCAGTCGAGTTCGAAGATGAGAAGGACCCGTCAAGAAATGGCTGAGTTATCGAAAAAATTGCCATTGTTGACCAGATGATCCCTGAGGGGTAGCACAGGGATTTTTTCAAAAAGAAGTTTTTTCCTTAGAATTATTCACAACATATATTAATCGACTCAGCTTTTGCAGTACACATAACAATCGGATGCAAATCCGATGTTTCCGCATTTATTTTTTCTTTTAATCAAGTTGAAAGTGAAATAGTAATAAATATATGTTTAATTGATAAGTGTGTTGTTATATGAATAATATATTTTTTCATTCATTTCTATTCCAATCATTACGGCCATGCTGTATGCTTTTGTTGAGGTCTACCTCGATTTTATTTTCAGTTCATGTAGAATTATTTGAATTTAAAACATAGTTTGAAATAAACAGAAAGAAATCATTCATATTTGAAACTATGATTATTTTATAGTTCGCACGTAAATTATACTTTTTTCACCAAGTCGTTTTCGAAACGCACTATATAATCAATCAAGACTAGCTACAGAAGAAAAGTAACAGAACTGAAATAACTACAATTAACTTTACTATTTTCTTCCAGGTAAAACTAAACATGTGTCCAACATGTCATAGAATTTCTGGGACGACTGATTACTTCATTTATACTCAATAGACGTTATTTGTTGGAAAAATTTGACTGACTCTTTTTACTGATTAGCATGAAATAAATGTAATATAGTAATGCAATCGTGTACTATTTCATCAATTTTTCATTACGTTAAATTAATGAAGTCTTCGAGAAATATCTGAAGTTTTGTACAATCAAAAGATGGTTGATCAAATAGAAACATTTGTAATGCATGAATAATAAGAAAATTGCTAGAGTATGAACCGAATAATCTTGAACAATCAACAAATGTCTTTACAAAAAAATCATATCATAATCAACAACACTAATAAGTTACACGGAAAATTTCAATAACAAAAAACATGACGATTGTTGCTATTGCTACTGATCTGTAGTAGCCTAGCTAAACCAGACATTTCTTAACTATTTAGTGATAAACAGTTATTTTAGTGTTCATAGTTAGCTTTTACTGAGTATACAATGATGAGTTTCAAAAATTGTCACAAAATTTCTATGGCTCTTCTTATATACAGTGACTGTAAAAATTATTTCGACTAGGTTTAAATTCGAGTTGGCTCACTTTTGTATAGGTTTATAAGAACTCAAAAGAGACTTTTCGTAAAGAATTCTATTTTCAACAAGACATTTGAATAATGAAAATAATGGCTGACTTTTCAAAGATCAAGTTTTTCGAAAATTAATCACCGAGCTTCGTAACTCCGGAAATCCACAAATAGCATTCTGTTTTGTGATTGCTAGAAACGAAATTTCGTATTTAGAATTTTACTAACACTGATGAAAATGGCGCAACCTTGAAAATAGACCTGATCGAATAAATTTAGGAAGTACTGTTCACATGCAAATACGTACGAAATGTTTCGAAGAAAAGAAAAAGAATACGAACAATAGTTTAATACAGAACAGAACAAAAAAGAGAAAAAAAAGTTCAATGAAATCAATTTATCAGTTTCTATTTTTTAATAATATTAGCTAGCTCTCTGAAGCTTTCATCGGCTGCTTGCATAAAATTAGGTAATTCCTTTTCTAAATACGAAGTAACTAATAATCCACATTGATCATCGTCAATTAAATATCCAATACCATATCCATCATTAACAACAGGACCAAAACCACCAGCAGCAATATGCTTTGAAGCTACTGTTGATGTTGACAGAATCGTATGATTTATTGATTGATAAGGTTTATCTGTGTAAATTGGATGTAACTTTTCTCGATTTTCAATCTCTTGTAAATATTTTAATGCAAATAAATGTCGATCAAAACCTTGTCCTGTTGCTGCTTCTTTAATTAATTGTTGATGTTTCTCTGAGCATTTTTTTAATAGATCTCTTTGTAATTGTTCATCGTTGGTTTTTGTTAATGATTCAATAAAAGTTTTTGTTTCATGTGTAACTGGTCTTATTGTTTCTGTGCGACCATGTCTATAGACAGCTGTTGAACAGGATTCATATGTGGATACGAATCGTTTATGTAATTTATAATAAGCCATTTGAATTGCTAATTGCATCATAGCATCAGGACTTAGCGAAGCTTGTTTTAATAAATTTTTACCAATAACACCTTCTTGATAAATATTAACGTTGAATTTCGATACAAAATCATTATAATTTTTTCTTGATGTTTCAAATTCATTTTTTAATTTATCATCGAATTGAAATTCAAGTTTTTCAATACAATCATTGGTCGATGCATTTATTGATTCATAGTTTGTTGAATTAATTTTGCCATGTTCATTTGCATCTTTATCAATATCATTACAGAAACGAAGTAAAGCAACACCATCACCCCATGAATGTTCGCAATGAAGACCAAGTGTTCCATCGGATAACATTATCATATTGAATGATTTATCATACCAACGATTTGATGCATTATAACATAGATATTTTCCAGAGACATATTCGGCAAGCTGTTTTTTAGTACAAGATTTGTCTAATTTTGATGGATCATCTTCATCTAATGTGAAACAAATATACATATCAAAACTATCATTTTTAATGTTTCTCAAAATGTAGAAACATTTGTCACCGAACATTTTAGTTTATTTCGATAGACATCATAGATTGTCTCATGATTCATTTGATGCAATATATTTTGATCTCTAGTTTCTTTGTCATTTCAAACTACTGCCAAATTCATATCAAACCTTGAAGCAAATCTTCGTGTGCAAGGTGAAGTTGATTTCATTTTTTTGTTCAAGGATTATTTTTCACAAAAGACTATCAAGAAATCTTTGATTTCTAACTGTTCTAGATTGATCTTATGCAGAATTTTAGTTAAAATTTTGTCGGTGATTTTGTTTTTCATTTTATCACTGATAACAATGAAGAGTCTTCTACTTTGTTAAACATTTTCTGCAAACAATAAATCAGAACCAAGCATTTTTGTTCGGTCCAATGGTACTTCTCAATTACACATAAGGGTTTGCTAAGATTCATAATTAATTTTTCTTATTTTCATGCCATGTATTTGATCTGGCAATGGATACTCTGACTCATAGAAATAGTTCGAGAAAAAAACAAGCAGGACTTTTTTTGCAAATAGAAAATTATTTTTTTCAGATATCTTAACTGATGAATTCCATAAAATTTACATTGTAACTGCAACTTCTAAGTGTAGACTATTCAAAATCTTGCATATTTATTATTTCAGACATTTAATTGAAAGTCGAGTCTATTTTCAATTCAATTCAATTATATTGGCAATAGCCATAACTTACCGAGACATATAATCATAATTGAAGTATCAATTTCTTTAAATATATCTTTATTGTGTTGAGAAAGTTCTTGCAATTGTTCACGTACAGATGCCCACCGATTTCTATTATCAGCTGTAAAATATCCCAATGGATACTTATTTTCTTCTTCACGTAAACCTTCAGATAAATACTTCATCGTCGCAGCAATATCTTCAGCTGGCAAAAGGTGTCCATGTTTATCTAATACATTTACTTTATAATAATGACCACCTTTAATAACAATTATATGTCGTACATTTCCAAAGCTCGATTCAAGTACGTCACAGTCATGCTTAGGTATACGAGTTGAATTAAATAAACGACTATATTGCGACATATCTAAAGGAAATGCCTTTTGTAGGAAGGCTCCATAAAATGAAATACTCTTTGGTACGAATCGAAGATATTTACGAAAACGATCTGTATTCGTTTTCATGGGATTTAAATGATATACTTCTGGTTCAAGCCAATTAGCACGAAGTGTATTCATAAAACGAATTGATGAAATAATATAATTTGTAATACGGGCTCCTGGTTTTAAATGCTTTTGATCATCAGCAAAAACGAGGAAAAAATTAAAATTTAATATAAGTGGTAGCCGTGATTTTAAATACATTTCAAACCATGGTTTTGATATATAAGATGTATTTCGATTTAGCGCATTTTTATGTCGTAATTGAGCATCAAGTCGTTTACCATCACGTGAACAAAAATCAGCCACAATCTGTTGAGTGTGTTTGAATGCATTGTCGTCATTGTTAAGAATTGGTTTAAGTGCAGCTAAATAACGTTCACATGTTTTATCTAATTTTGGTATTGGTAAACGAGGTAAACTATATTGAAAATGATCAGTTGATAGAATACTTCGTTTAAAAAAATTATATTCATCATGTTTTTTAATTGGATGGGACGATACATGACGACGAAGAAGAAACAAATATCTTTGTGAAGTACCGATTGTAATATGACTTTTAGTTAACATCTGGAAGTTAATTTATAGCAGATGAAAAATAATGTTTTGTTTTTCTTCGAATTTAATTTCGGTACATAGTATATTAGTCATGTTTATTGTAGTATTATTAAGAATTATCATCATCAAATCATTTTGAGTACAGTCGTACTGGAAGTGCATGCAGTTTTTAGCATTGCATTATGATGTTAACAAATAGATATTCAACAAACATGGATTATGAAATACTTCATGTTATCTTCTATGGATCCTTATTCTAAAGATATCATTTGGCAAAGTATGCCTAAATAAATGTTTTCTTTTCTTCAAAGCTTACTTTTGTTTATGCAGAGGAGAAACGACAAGCAGTGAAGTTGAAAAAATGATTCCTATAGAATTACATGTTCCTTCGAGAACATCTAGGATGCGTAATCAAAAATGCATGAACTGACATAAAAGAAGCCGAGAAAGATTTAATACTTTTTCCAACAGGAAAATAAGCATGCTCTCATGAAGAAAGTGCTGAAAATTTTAAAAAGACGAGATCCAAAATAAAAGAATCATATTATTAACGATCGATGAGACTTACGTCTATCTACTCATACTTGTTTATCTTGAATTCAATTTATTCTGACGAAGGTTTGATTTTTATCAAGGTCGAAATGTGTTTATGCGATAAGATTTTACACTGAACACGATCTAATATAACATTTAATTATTTTTTTAATTTGAAAAACATCCGATTCTAATATTTTTAAACGATAACTGTTTTATTAGTTTTTTCTCACTCACATTATGATAAATTTTTTGAATGTTAATTCAAAGTTTTATAACTCGTTGAAGGACAAACTATTGATCTGCTTATAATTGATAAATAAGATAAGTAAGATAAGCTAAAAAGGAAACAAAAAAACGATAACTTTGATCCTTTCATAGTTAATGAAATAATATAGAATAATTCAAAATTGCCACCTACGCTTTCACATACTTATTATCTTTTCAACTCAACGTGCCTATGTTTACTTGTATCACTGCAGTGATTTAAATAAAAAGGTGTGTGAATCATCGAATTGTTCTCTGGCAACTGATTTGCTACTTATTCCTGCATTCATATGAACCGTATGATGTCGCTTAAATTGATGATTTCCCTATAGTAATTGGAAAGGAATGACACGCTGGCAGCTGTCGCCGAAATCAATAATATAATTTTTGTAATCATTTTCATTGCATTTTCCATAGTTTTATATGACCTTGAATGAAACAACTTAATGTTTTGGTAGTCTTATATTTTTATTCTTATAAAATCTGAAAATAATTTTCAATAGCAGATTAAGTGAAAAATACAAGATTTTCTCAACAATCAAAACCTAATATTCGTTCAATAGTAATTAGTCGAATAATTATTTTAGATGCGACTAGTAATTACTAAAGATTACGATGAAATGTCCGAGTGGAGCGCTCGATATATAAAAAAACGAATAAATGATTTTCAACCAGGTGTTAATAAATTCTTTGTACTTGGTCTACCAACAGGTATATTCTATTTTTTGTTCTGAGTTTTGAATAATTTTAATTTGTTTATTTTCAGGTAGTACACCACTTGGCACATATAAGAGATTAATTGAGTTTGTTAAGACTAAACAGTTATCATTTAAATATGTTGTAACTTTTAATATGGATGAATATGTTGGATTACCACGGGTATGAACACCGAAGTTTGTTATTTTGTCAAAAAAATGATCTAAGATTTCTTTTCTTATAAGAATCATCCGGAAAGTTATCATTCATTTATGTGGAATAATTTTATTAAACATATTGATATTGATCCCAACAATGTTCATATTCTCGATGGCAATGCCGCTGATCTTATTCATGAATGTAATGAATATGAACGAGCTATAAAAGATGCTGGTGGAGTCGAATTATTTGTGGGTGGCATTGGACCTGATGGTCATATAGCTTTTAATGAGCCAGGTTTTTAGATTGCTCTTTTTCTATTTAGAAAAAAATTGATTTGTTTCTATATTTAATTATTTAGGATCTAGTTTAGTATCTCGTACGCGAGTAAAAACTCTAGCACAAGATACAATTATTGCTAATGCACGTTTCTTCGATAATGACATAAAAAAAGTACCAACATCAGCTTTAACTGTCGGTGTTGGAACAGTGATGGATGCACGAGAAGTAAGCTAATGATTTATTTCTACAAAAAAGAAATTCACGTTGCTCTATTCTTCATTGAATAATTGAAAAAAGTGAAGAAAGTTGTTGTTTTTTCTCTTCTACATGTTGGATAGCCTTAATGGATCATACTAGCTTTGTATATTTTTTTCAAATTTCTATGACTACATTGTTCTTTCTTTCTCTCTCTCTTTCTCTCTTTCAGGTATTAATATTAATATCTGGCACATCCAAAGCCTATGCACTTCATATGGCAATTGAAGAAGGCGTGAATCATATGTGGACCGTATCAGCATTTCAAAATCATCCAAGATTTCTATGTGTTTGTGATGAAGATGCTACGATGGAATTGAAAGTAAAAACAGTTCGATATTTTAAAAGTTTAATGTCTGTACATTCACAATTAATTGACGACAATTGTCATGCATCATTATTTCATACCGAAAATTAAATTATAGAGAAAAGAAAAGTTTCAATGTTTTTTTGTTTTTTTATATATTTTTGTCTAAATATTTGTGCTTATGTTTTGGTTCGGAGTAGTTGTTGTAGTAGTAGCAGTCAATTAGTCGTCTTTGAAAAGACAAATAGAAGTGACGAAGAAAACAAAAAAAAATATTTCAATATAATCATAAAATAGAGGGTGGTGGAAAAGGACTTAAAGCAGAGAAAAAAAGATTGAATTTCTTTTTTTTTATCAAACGTGTACATATTTAGTGACACCCCATTTATGATTAGAACGTTCTCGTCGTCGACGAAGAAGATGTGCATCAACCTCTAATGCTACTTCTTTATCAATTAAATTAGCTTGTAATCGTTGACCAACAATTTTTAATGCTTTTAATTGTTTTCTTGTTTCTTCAGCCGACTGTTGAAGATCAGTTGTTACCTGCAGTTATATGAAAAGAAATTAAATGAATAAAGAAAAGAAAAGAAGGTTTTTTTCATTTACTTTTGCTGTTATTTGAGCTTCTGGTACTTGATTGCCTGGATGTTTTTGAAATGTTCGAATTATAGGCCGATCAAGACGTTCAAATATTTTAAAACTAGATGAACTGAGTGGACCGGCATTGCATCGTTGAGCACTCATTGTTAAATCAAACCAACGTTGTGCTCGATGTTGTGCAATAGAATTTTCACCGAGTGATATTGTCAAATGTTGCTATTAGAATATTAATTTACGTCTGGATTTAAAACAAAACAAGACACAAAAATAGATTTTATTTTCTTACTGCTAATGTAATAATATCAGCAAGTTTCTGAGCAACACTTTGATTAACAGTCAACGAATAAGCTTTAGCATCATTGAATGCATCTTTTATTTGATTCATAGCTTGTTTTTTTATTTCACCCGATTCTTCAATTAATTTTGCTGCTTCTTGAAATACTTGTATAACATCAGGCGTAAAAGGAAGTAAATGACCAACAAGCGGTAAACCATTCTCATCTAACAAGGTTGATTCAGCTGTGACATTTGTATTATTTAAATTTGAGTTAGATGAAGTCATTGTTGTTGATAATGGATTAGTTCGTGTTGAACGTGGTGGACGAAAACCAAGTGCTGATGTTGGTCGTGCTGGTGGATTTGCTATTGATGCTCGACGTGTTTGTGCATTATCTAGTCTAAATAAAAAAACTATTTAATCAAGTTAATATTCTCTTTAACTTGTGTTTACTTTTGAAAACGAGTCAATTCAAATGTTCTCGATGCATGTGTCAAACACTGACATATAAGTTCTGTAACTACTGAACGTTCTTTACCAACTTTAGTAACACGCTTACGAACTTCATCAAGTTTCTAAATAGTTTAAAAAATTATTGTTCATAACAAAAATCTTTTAAGATATTATTTTTCATGCCTGCATTTGATCAACAATATTTTTACAGTTAAGTTCTAAAATATTTTTTATAGTTGTTAAATGATATTTTTCTGCAGCGAGTATATCATCAACACCATCAAGCTCCTATTTATATATGAACAAATATGTGAATGAAAAAAATATAAATAAAAAAAAAACAGAATACCGCTTCTCGTTTTGGTTTTTTTCTAATTTTAACACTTTCATTATTGATAATTAAATCTTTACGTATATGATCAATGGCTGCTTCTGTATATTCTTTATGTTTTAATAATGATTTAATTTCTTCATTAATATCACCCCAACACAAACGTAATTTAGCTACAACAACACGACATTGTCGTGCATAGAGCAAAGCTTCAGTATTACTCAGTTCAGTCAGCATTTCACGAACATGCGGTAAAGGATCAATTCCTTAATTTAAATTTTTCTATTTTCATTACATTGTTGGTTTTTATTTTCAATTAAATCTTACCTCGACCGAAGAGAATATTTTGATCACTCTGCTCAATCGCTTTCGCATTAATTCGAATGTCGACCATTGTTTCTTGTCGCCAATTATCATTGCTAAGTAAACTACGACCTAAACGTTGTGGCAATTGCTCACTAATAGTTGGTGATGGTCGACTTGGTCTTGTTACTCGTTGTTGTTGTTGTTGTTTTTGCTGCTTTTGTTCTGTATCAAAGGTGAGACTTCTTGATAAAAATTGTTTCCCGTTATTATTGTTGAGATGATCATTATCATCCGTTAATGATGGTCTTTGAATTTGACATGATGTACTTGGTCGTGATGGATTCGTCATATTGTCTAATTTTAATACTTTTTAAATATTTCCATGTGAAAAAAAAACGAGTTTCTTTTGTAATACTTTTGTATATAATGGTTAAACAAAAGAAAACGTTCTCTTCTACAAAATTGATGTTAGAGAATCAGTAACCATCATTGATTTCTACTCTTTTTTTCCTATTTCTATTAAGCTCTTTTTTCTTCTTTTCTTTTTTCACACGCGACATTTTTTTTTCTTTGCTGGAAGAGATGCCACGGCCACACTTATTTGATTGCTTGAAAACCAAACATTAGCAACATTTCATTCCAGAAGTTCCTGACAACCAAACATATTGACACATACACGTTGAGCTGCTGTTGAAAAAGCATCAGCTCAAATGTTTTTTGTTGTTGTCTCAATCGCATCTCAACTTTCTTTTCAATAACTGCAAGCAAATATGTGTACACGATTAATAGAGAAGAACTGATTCCATTATATCAACACACAAACATGAAAATCAATACCTTGGGATTTTTTAAAATCATCATTATTTTCACATCAAAAAAATAGATAAAAACAAAGAGCAACGACTTAGACAGATGTGCATGCATATATATATGCATATAATTAGATAAGAAAACAAACAATTAGTTTTTATGGCTTTATTTAATAGGGAAATTGAGTTTTTTGTTGTTTAATAAAATGAGATGAATTTTGTGGTATAACGATAGGTAAACTATCGACCGGATTTTGTATCATCATTTCATTATCATCATTGTCATCACTTGATAATTCATCGCTATCGACATTTAATGGATACCTAGTGAATATTTTAGCTGATGATACTTGATATTGATCTTCACATGATGGAGAGTCATCTTGAGCTAATACTGGATATTGTGGACGATTTCGTTTAAAAAAGCCACACTAAAATAGAATGATACAATAAAGTTTTTAATATAATCTTTTGATTTTTATGTTCTAGAACTGAGAGATAACTTTAATTATAGCTAATATCTATTTCTATATAATAGAATATATAAAATTGAAGTAAACAGATTATGATGTGCCTTTAGCTACTTATATCTGTTATTCATAACCTTGAGAATAAGCTGTAATTTTTGAAGCCTTCAAAATTGACGTTTGATCGACTCGCTGAGAAGCCCAAAAAATTCTTTCACAAATAATATTCAATTAGAAGCTTTAAGCGCAAATAGCTGAAATGATTACAACTATTCAACATAAAATTTCTAACACGCAGAGTTTCATTGCTCTCGATCAGCCGTAAGTCTGTCAAATCTCTTAAATCAGTTGACAGAAATCATTTGTATAGTACACAGATGTTTATTCAATATTCAAATATTGCATAAGCAATTTTTTCTGTTCAATTCCCATAGAACTGATAATTGTGATCATAGCAAATAGTCGATTTTCGTTTGTGTCACTAGTACGTTCTTTTTTCTTTTTCATGCTTAGCATTACAAAAGGAGAGTGGCTGTTATATGACATAAATCTAACAAGAAAGTGAAAGAAACATGTAAACTAACTGTCACAGCCTACAAAGCTAGAGAAGATTAATGATTCTAGAACCAAAGAGTATCTTAATGCCAGCTGTCGATATTACCGTAGCTGAATACATTTTTTTTTGTAAATACTATACTGCGCTCTCTTATTTTCATATATTTATATATATATATATATATATATACATGTATATTATATGCCAATCAGAGATGAATATCGTCGAAATTCAAAATTGGCCCATGAAATTCACAAGAGACATAATCATGGATAATCAAATGCTTGATTTTTTGTTTTTGAAAAACTATAAAATGATACTTACACACCAAAGAACACTAACAAGTATGATTAAAAGAATGACTCCAGCTGTGATACTAAGACCGATAAGCCAAATCCAATGTTGAGATGACCGTTCTACAGTAAGTGGTATTTGTGTTTCAAGCTAGAAAGAAATATATGAATAAAATTGATTTGTTTTGTTCATATTTTCTTAAACTAAAGATCATTCTATTTATCGTCAAAGTATCAAGTAACTAGATAATTATTTTCCATTAATGTTAATAGTATCTTTTAGAAGGTGATATATAATGAAGTGTTATTGTGTCATTCTTTTCCGTTTTTTTTCCTACCATATAATTTCCAATATACTTATACACATATCCCTTTTATTTCTGTATTCTAGAATTAAAAAAGAGATTTGACTCTGATGCGCATGTAATGCGATAGAATTGAATAAGCACATTGTCACATAGCTTTTTGTGTACTCAAAAAACGTGAGTACACTCTAGATTCGGTCAGTATGCCCGGCCCACCGTTAACACGATAACCTTTGAAAGCCTCATCCAATTGTCATGAAATTTTCTACACAGCATGATCTCATTAATATCTCAGTCGAGTTCGAAGATGAGAAGGATCCGTCAAGAAGTGACTGAGTTATCGAACAAATTGTCAGTATTGACCTGACCATCCCTGAGGGGTGGTACAGGGATTTTTCCAAAAAGAAATTTTTTTCTTAAGATTATTCACAACATATATTAATCGACTCAGTTTTTGCAGTACTCATAACAATCGGATGCGAATCCGATGTTTCCTCATTTATTTTACAGTAATATTGGCTTGATTTGCATATTCCCACTCGTTTCATTCAGGAAGTAGCGTTTTCTAATCTAGTTCTGAATAAAAGAAGAAGAAGAAAATGTGCAAGACTTCAGCATGATATCCTATTATCTTCTTCATATTACAGTCAGATAAATCATAATCAAAAGGTTTTTTGGCGTTTAAACTGTTTCTTTTTATATTAGTCGCATACTTTCTTAAATAATTTAATAAATTCTATTTTTAGCAATTCATCTGGAAAAAAAATAACTATATACAAAATGGTATATATTTTGCATTACTAATCTATGATGGGCCCAACAGTCATTAAAGAATTTTTGTTAATCAGGCTTGTTTATTATGAGAAATAAGTCTTGAGAGTTTTTCCTTCATAGAAACGCGACAATATGACGGATATTATTTGTTTGATTGTTCCGTGACCCGCTGATACGAGCGAGTTCTCCACGTTCTCTACTAAATTAACATTTTTTTTTATTGTTATAGAGAAATAATATATACATTGACAATGAATATTCATGTCTGGCAAGCAACTAAAAGTGGCAACATGTAAAATAACATGGTCGTATTAATATTTACCATTTAATCATCGTTTCATTTTTTTTCAAGTATCATTAAAATTATCATAATATTTGGCGTTGATTTTTGGAAATATTCAACAAAATTCTCGTTTCATTTTTGATTTTTCTTTCATATCACTACTATGACTATTAATTAATAACAATAGACACAATAATATTGTCGATTTCATATGTCTCGCACATTTGCCTTTAGATATGATTATTTAAGGAATCTTTGATCAACATCTATACTTCTCGATAGACTTATTTAGTGATTCATTCATTGTTTTCATGTCTGATTGATGAAAAGAAACATAGAAATATATTTATATCAAAATTACATGTACTCCAACAAATGCGAAATCAATCCTGTGTATCAACAAAGCAAAAACTGTGAATTTTTATAGAAAAACTTTAATTGGAATATGTAAGTGAAGAATAAAATACTTAAGGCATACTTGACGCTTTCGAAACTCTATTCATTTTTCAAGAGATTTACAAACTAGTAATTAACTGAATTGCTTTTGGAGAAAGTTTCTCTTAAGAAATTTATAATAAAATCTTTTATTCAAAAATGAATTCTGAGCTATAATAATAATAATAATTATTATTACTATTTGTTTTTAGCTAATGAACAAAAAGAAAAATAGATACGATTGACGTATGATGTTATATTTCTATCAATTGTTTTTAAATGTCAGTGTTCTATTTGAAATAGAATTATTTGTTATAATATAGGCTTTAGGCCTATTTATGCGCGAATTGAAAAAAAACGCATCGTCTCCCTAACATTCATCCATTCAGAAATAATCTTCTCAAGACAAATAATAATGACTTACTTACAGCAGTAGCTACGAAAAGACAACACTGATGATTTATATTCCTATTACATCTATTCGATGCTAATGAACTAATGGTGACAATTTGCTTTTCTATATAGTAGTTTATTAATCATTTTAATATTCTTTATCAGTCTTTCTTGTAAGCTAGATTTATGAAAAAATCCTTATTTTTTTGTCGTCATTTTTTAATCAAATAGAAAAACTAGCTCATATGAACAATTACTTTTTCGAACCAGCTTTCTTCATAAAAATAATAAGTAAATCAATAAACAAGTAACTTATTAAACCGTGTATTATTATTAGATATTTTTTTTTCTTTCGAATCGCATACTTCGATGCGAACTTTAAAAACAAATACATGTTTCGTTTCGATTTAGTGATATAACTAAATCGAGTAATTCATAAGAACAGATTTCCAGAAGAAATGATCTATTCTAGTGAAAACAAAAGCGTTGTTGTTAATGCAGAGTTTTTCCAGATGTTTGCCGATCTTTTGCATAGTTATATATACGCTAGATGCATATGTATGGTGTCTTCTACTCTTTGTAGCACTAGTAAACAACGAATAAGCACGCAAGCCAAATGTATTTCCTGTTTTTAATAGTCTCCTCGTTGCTTCATGCTATTGTATCACTCTCGTTAGTTTCATTTCCTAGGTACACTCTTCATTAATTTAGTAATATTATGTCGCGATAGAGAGACAAAGATAATTAAACTCTTTCGTTCTCGCTCTCGCTATATTCGAATCATATTCATAATGTCAGAAACTCATTTCTTTTTATTCATTTTTTCTACTACAATTAGAAATAGAAATTAGAAATTTCATTAAGTCAATATTCTTATAATTATAACATGTAGACTTATTTTAGATAATAACTTTTATTTGAATGAATACTAATAGAAATGCTATATAATGAACCAAACATCGAATGCTTTATCAAATGTTCGTGGGATTAACATTAGTTTGAATTGTACTTATGTTTCAGCTTATAATATTACTGTTAATGGTACGTTAAATTGTGTTAATCAATCGCTTCATTTTCCAACGGCACTTGTATCATATATAGTACAAAATCAAAGTTTAGTGAATTCCTCTGCTATAACACATACTATCATATCGCCACAGGTTACAAAATTTATACTAATACTTTTAGTTTCATTCATGACGTTTGTGACTGTATCAGGCAATCTATTGGTTATTATCGCATTTTTACGTGAGCCAACAATACGAACTTATTCAAATTACTTTATTCTTAATCTATCGATTGCTGATTTATTAATTGGTCTAATATGGTATGTTTAATAGTGTGAATTACTATTTTTTTCTGTGTAAGAAAAGATGAGAATATCAATTTTAAAAAGTATTAGTAAACCTTTGTAAGAATAATGAACCTTCAGGCGTATACTCAATGATTCATCGTTCAATGGGAAATTCTCATGTTCTATAATAAATCGCAAGACATAGTTACATTGTTTAATATTCTGTCACTTCTAATGAAAAATCAGGAAGTTTATCACATTTTTAATTTCTATCTGAGCTACTTTTGAACATGTGCGCATTTCTATTTAAGATATAGATTTGTTAAGAAAAAATTATGTTTAATTTTCCTTTGTTAATATCTTTCTTTTATGTAGAATACTGTTTATATCATTATTCATAATTATATATATATATATATATTTTAGTATTCCACTTTATTCTCATAAAGTTATATTTGGTAAATGGTATCTTGGTTATCATATATGTAAATTATGGCTTGTATTTGATTATGTTGTTGGCTCAGCATCAACATTATGTATTGTTGTTATCTCTTATGATCGCTATCTAATGGTGTCAAAAGGATTAAATTACTTATCAGATAGGTCTATAAGACGAGCACTAAAATTTGTTTTTAGTACATGGATTATCGCAATACTTAACTACGGTAAAGATAAGTTTTATTTAGTAATTTCCTAGAATATGATAAATTTTGTGTAGTGTTACTTTTATTGCTTTTCCTTATATGAAAATTAAAATGGGACTTTTCTATGCAGAAGAAAAAACTTGATGTGAGGCGCTTTATGTGTCAAAAAGAACAATAGATTACATTAAGAGTCATTGAACTACATCAAATTTTACTAGAACAATGTCAAGTAGAACAATGCTGAGTGTTTTTTTCGGTTACATTGACGTTTATTATAATAATAATAAAAATCTGTAAATAGAAAAAACAATGCGACAGAGGACTCGTGATTTCTGTCCTACTTGTAACGTTTCTTTTTATAGTGGCTCACAATCAGGGTTACCAAATCTCCTGTTTTGACCAAGGATATCTTGACTTTTGTAATGTGGCGATTTCCAAGAGAAAAGAACAAATTTGTGAAAACGTTAAACTTATATATGTCATGATAGTCGAAATCAAATGAGCCATGATTTAGTTGGAGCTGAGTTGGAGATTAAAATGAACACTCATCTTCAGTGTAACCAGATGTCAAACTTGAAACTCCAGAACCTTGCGTAGCTTTTTTCAAATGTTGAAAAACGCGGAAAGGTTTTTGGGTCCGTTTTTTCCCTTAAAGTACGTTTTACTCTAACGGATTCGAAACAAAAATACTCTTTATACATATCTACAACATACATTAAAATAAAAAAAGTGCACATCCAAGAAGGCTGCCTGATGTCAACCTCGAAAATCTAAAAGATTCAGGAATTTGTTTTTCGAAATCGAGAAAAAATTGAGAAAAACTTTGAAAATTCGGAAAAACTTTCGAAATCTGGAATTTTTCCACAAGATGTGGGGATCTGGCAACACTACCTATTTTACTTGACCAGAACTCTATGATTATCTTTTAAATGAACCAAATCTTTCAGAATCATATATTCGATGGTTAGATTTAAGTAGAGTCACGCCCCAAAAGGTTCACGAATTGCTGAGTAAATTAGCTAAGTAGTTTTTACTATGTATTCTAATGAACACATTTTAATTATCTATTTAAATAAACGTTTTGAAATCAACATTCTATTTTCAATTTTAATTCGTCTACAAGAAAAATTTTCAGCATCAATCCCATTATAGGAAAAGGGGCTAATGTATCTATTAGTGAAAACTCGGAAGTTATCAGATAAAAATCATCGAATGACTGTTGAATGTCAAAAAAAAACACTCCTGATTTTTCATAAAAATTCCCTGATTTCTAAAATTTGAATTTGGTAACCCTGTTCACAATAGTTCACTGAGAAAACACAGATAGAAGTAACACTTGTTGAGCAATACAAGAAGAAGGATAGAAAAAAATAACTAATAGGTGAATACTAAGTGTGATAGAATTTTCTTCGAGCAAGTTCACGGAAAATTCTAAAACTTCATGTTATATTATCAATCTCATAAAATTAAACATATAATGATCCATTCAAATAGATATTGTGTATAAATGGCAGTTTCGTTCAATATCAATGGATAATCATACCATACGATGAGACTGTGCGATACTATGTAGTAGAAAAAGAGAGGAAAACAAACTTCTAATGCGAACTAGCAAAAATGCATCATAGTATAAGTTAAAACGTGTAGAAACTTTCAAAATCCATCTTCCTCTCTATAGATATACGTATGTATAGATGCTCGGCGGTACATCGTAGGAAAGCAAATGAAAATTTAACGAGTTCTATTTTAAAAAACAAGTTTTATTTGACAGGATCTATGCTGACAAAGAAAATCAATATTACTGAAAGATTATCAATATTCACATAACCTGCTTCTACAGCTCATTTTGAAGGGTAGATAGTCTATAAGAACTGTTCTGTGATGGTAAATTATAAACTATTTTATCTGCAACTATTCCTATGTGTGTATTTATAGACGTTTGTGCACGTAACTTACTCGATACAGACGAACTTATATAAGCATAAACTTAGTGTAGTGATATATCAAAGACTAATGGAAACTTCGTGCTCGTCTAGAACATTTTATAATACATTCCAATTACTAATTATTTCCCTAGTTTTATCGATAGACGTACAATAAATGTTAACAAAATCTCTGTATCTGGTTTTAGAATTTTATTTGATATAGCATTGAGCAAAAATTTTAATTCAATTATTTTCTTTTTCTTCAATTCTATGAATAGGTCCAGCAATTATAATATGGGATTTATTACCCGGTAGTGAACAATATCAGGATCATATATGTGAACCACCGTTTGCAACAAATTTTCCATATCTAGTAACAACAGCATTCGTGGAATTTTTTGGACCGTTTTTTACTTTAATGTCACTTAATCTTCTGGTCTATTTAAATATACGACAGCGTTCGCGTGGAATAATGCGTACTAATCGAATTAGATTAAAACATAATGGGCATCACACAAATCTGACCGGTAAAACTACAGAAAAAGCACAAAAATTTACTTCTCAAATAATTTTTACTAAATCAACATCATTAACACGCGATCGTAAAGCAGCGAAGAGTTTATTTATACTCGTTTTTGCTTTTGTTATATGCTGGTGTCCATATACATTATTAACACTAATACGTGCTGTATGTACATATGAAACTACAGATGTATCATCATTTATCTATGAAATGACATTTTGGTTATTATGGTTAAATTCAACGATCAATCCATTACTTTATTCTTTTCTTCATGTTAAATTTCGTGAAGCTTTCTATCGAATATTATGCTCGTATAAACATCAAAATCGTCATCAATTAAGATCCGATCAAGTATAACAAATTGAATAAAACGATTCTTTTTTTATTATTACGAGAAACTAAGAGGTCTTTGTCACGAAAAAAAAAAAAAAAATTAGGCATAAATGTAATTGCTTTCGTTATTATTCTCAGCGTAGAAAGAAAGAAAAAGCAATACCTTTAATTGTGCGATTGGTTGTTGTTGAGATTTTGTGGTTGAAAACTTCAATGGTATTTCTCGTACTTGTGCACTTGCATTTGAAACAATAATAAATGGTTTAGAACGATCAAGTTTCTAGTTCAAATTTAAAACAAAAATGTTTTTAAGGAGTCTTTTTTGGATCGAAATTAATTTACTGATTGCAAATAATTATATCGTAGGCTAGCCTTTAATTGTATCAAAACACTATGACCGATCGGTAATGTATCAATATGGCAAATGAATGTTTTACATAATGGTCCATGACAATAGACTGGCAACAAAGATCCTTGAAATCGATCAATCGATGATTGATCTTGTAATATAAAATTTTTTGTTATTGTTGGACGAAATTTATCGAAAAAAGTAGTTAATTTATTGCGTTCATTTTCTATACGAGGAATTTCATATGGAGACTAAATAATTGAAAACGAATAGTATTTTAAATAGATATGTATATATCGAACATATTCTTACTGAATGATAGATTTGACATCGATCTTTATTTGCTTTTGGATCGGATACTCGAATAATATTTGGAAGATCGATTCCATACAATAATGGTGTCTGTTCATTGAAACCTGCCAATGGAAGCATTGGCCACATAAATTTAATTTCTGTACGCTTTGCATCACTAGGTCCCTTGTTATGCAATGTGTATGTATGAACAATTTCCAAGTCATCCGTTTTCGTAGTAGTTGGATATCTGCCAAAAGTTTGATCCGACGTATCAGAGACTATTTGTTCTGGCTTAGCAACACTAGAATAAGAAGAAAAAAAAAGGTACGACCTTTGGCTGGATGTTAATATTGACTTTTTTTTTACCCAATTAAGACTAATTCTGGTGAACTCGATATTGGTATCACAATTTCGGTTGATAATTTTGTTGAATTCAGATTATCACTAAACATAGATGAAATTTTATACGTTAATAATAGCAAAAAGAGAATTCTGGGATGAATTAAAATATGGAACATAATGGAATTACTATTGATAATCACTAGAAATTTGTTCAATTTGATCTATTTTTAGGATGCATTGCTTTAGTATCCTTCTACTGGATCATTTCGAAAAATTTTTTAACAATTAAGTCACGCATTACCGCGAGACAATTTCTATCTACTATCACAGATGCAGTAACAATAATGCCTAACCTACTCTTTGATGAGCCATTTATACAGTTAATGTTACATCTGTCTGAATGAAGGACCATAATTAGAACGTCTATATGTCGGCATTTCTTGTAGAGTATGTTTCATGAAGAAAAACATTACAGAATTAGCTAAACTGTTAATTACAGTAAACAATATACTCTTGTTTTTGTTTGCTAGGATTTATCAAGTTTTTTCTAGACGTTGTATATCAATATTGTGAATCTTCATCGCCAGCAGAATCATTGTAACTGGTCTCCATTGTTTAAGCGTAATGTAGATTTAAGAGCATTTGTTGATGATATTAGTCACAGACTAATAGGCCTTTTCTTTACAGAGTCTTGAAACAGAGTTAGAAATCGTTTTACAGAATTTATGAAAAAGCTTTTAGTATTTAATGGAAAACTCAAATGTAGAGTTTTGAAGTAAAAATTGTCTCACATATATAAATTTACTAATTCATAGAATATTTTCAAAATTTTAGACGAAAAGAATGTTTCTTTTCTATTGGGAAAATTACCTCTGTACTAATATATATGGTAAGCATTCTCCGTTGAAATCTGATACTATGATAAACGAGCATTATTTACAACTGTAACTTTTAGAGTACTCTACGAGTCATACAATTTATATGTAAAAACTCAGTTTGCATTAGTATGAATGAGTTCTCTTACGCTTTTTTTTCTAGTCTTATCAGTTTGAGAACTATATATGAGTTTCAATACTAAAGACTAATGTGTTTTTTAGAAGATTGAATAAACACACTGACTTATATTTGCAAGACATTGAATTCTACATTCATTTTAAACGCAATTATTTTTAATATTTATATAGTAAGAAAATAAGCAACAAAATAGGATGGTAATAAACTCAGTCAATAGGAATGTTTTCTAAGTTTAAAAAAATCGATAATATTGATAGAGAGCCAATTAACCACTTTGCTCTTTTTTCTGTTTTTTTTTCGTACTGACATAAGATTGGATATTCCAAAAATAAAAATGCATTCTTTGAATGAGAATTAGTGGTGAACCGTTGATTTTAATTTGAGTTAATTAAGTAGTTTTACTTAACACTTAACATTAATAAAAAAATCTTTGCATTAGCCACTTAATTACTTAGTATTGAGTCTTAACGTAACATTTAATTTTTTTAAATTAAGTATTGATTTAGCACTTAATATTAAGAAAAAAATGTGTATATTAGCTACTTAATTACTTAATATTAAGTGCTAAAGCAATACTTAATGTTTTAAAATTAAGTGCTTCGTTAACATTTAATATTATAAATTAAGTCTTAACGTAACATTTAATATTAAGTAATTAAGTGGCTAATGTAAACGTTTTTTTATTAATATTAAATTAACGCAAAGTGCCACCCCTAATGAGAATTACCTTGTAACATTAATGAAGAATACAAATGTATCTGCTTCTATAGCTGAATAATTTTTGACAGCTGTATGAATTTGTAATGAGATCTAAAATAGTTTGCAATGACGAAACTTTCTAATTTCAAATCATAAATAGTTAAACTAACATTTCCATAGGCCAAAAGTGGATTACCAAGTTGACACACAATGATGCGATCAGATTGTTTTATTAAATTACAATAAAGATTTGTCTTAAACGAAATTAAAACATACAAAATAAATGAATTTTCTCTGATTTCTTTCTTACAATTGAACTTGAATTTGAACTAACATATTCAACTCCGGCAGGTAATTGTATAAAACACCGTGTATCATATGCATTCTCTCCTGTATTAATTACATTAATATCAAGAAGAATTTTCTTAGTTAAGCCAACTTTATAATCATCTGGCCATCTATTAATAAAGAAATATTTTCAAAAACTTCTATAAACATATCTACATACTTTGCTGTTGATATATGAAGATTCGGTATACATATATCATCTGCTCCACAATCTTTTTGTATTGGAATCTGAAGAATAGATATTCTTAAAACAATAGTTAACATATTTTATTCTCTGTTACGTTATAATCATATGAGGAATTGGCGGGATCAAGTATTGGTGGAACAACATTTGCATCTGACTTTGATGAAAGGGAATAGTCAATATGTATATGAATCGGTTTTAATTTGTCACCGACATCTTCCTATGTTTAAAGAAGAAGAAAATATAAAAATAATGAGCTCGCTTTTCAAAACGATCGTGGCAAACGTTTCTAGATAAAATATTTCTCATCTTTTCAATCGATTACAAATATCAGCGGAAAATGTTCCACACTAGATTTTTTCGTTCAACTTCATCGCCTCTTGATTTCTTCTTAGATCCGATGTTCCTTGTTGCATGATATGAGGCTCACGAGTGTCATTGACTTATGTAGTTTAACATAGTTAAATTTACTATATATGTATCTAGGAATCTAACGGATTTCAAGTAAGGTATCATAGGTCGTTGGAAACAGCTTACAGAAAACTGTTACTCACGATATAATTGAATAGAGAAGCGTTAATTTGATCTTGTAGATTTGATAAAATATTCCTACCTATCAAAAATTTATTTTAAGATCTATCAAACATTTACTATTGCTACATGCCACTGAATTCGATAGAAGTTGTGATTTTAACCAAATGTCTCATACTTTCTGCTCAATATCTTGTTTGATACATGCGTTGGCTAGTTTCATATCAATAGATATAACATACTTTCATATATAATGAATAATCATGACAAACACGAGTCGATAATCTTAATTGTCGTTTTTTAAATGATCTGTATGATTCTCGAAATAGTAATCGTTTATCAGCTTGATCTTTATCTTTGTCAAGTTGTATTTCATATGTCAATGCTAAAAATGAAAAAGAAATAAACAAAAATTTTCTATATTTGTCTAGTTGTTTTTTGTTTTCTTTTAGTACTAACTATCACGTTTTGAAGCTTGATACTTCGCATCATGAAGGTGAATACATACAGTTAGAATAAAACTGGAAAAAAAAGAAAAGAAATGGATATCAATAAAAAAATCAATGTAACTAAAATATTCACTTACCATGCATCATCACTACGTAATGTACAATTAAGTGGAATTGTAGGTGAACTATTATGTAATTTTGTTTGTAAACGCAATACAGGCCGTGCTCTTTATTAACAGAAAACAAAAACAAATTAGAAAACATATTAATTTTAATTACATACAAAATGATAGCAACAGTTTCCGAATGTATACTGCTAACGGCTAAATCTAAAGTTAATGAATAAAAATTATAGATAATGACGACATTTATTATATTGATACATTACCTAAATAGCCATTATTATCATAATCAAATTGACCTTGCAGTGCCCAACCGAATCCTTTTAATGCTGCAGCTTGAAAAATCTATAAGCATTGCATCAATATAGGAAAAGCAAAACTCATGAAGCTAAATGTTTTAGACTAGTTCTACTCACTTGTGATGGTGTTAAAATGAGTCCATCATTTGATCCACGATAAATATGTATCATATTAGATGAACCATGATTAATAAATGGAATTGAAATAGCTACATCTGTATATATAGAAAAATAAACTATTCAATCGATATTATTTATTTTTTCTCATACCATTATATCCATCTTTATCAATATCACCTAAATTGGCTAATGTATGTCCTAATCGACCTCCTTCTCGTGTTCCTTCAATGCTTTGTTTCCGCACAAGATTATGCTAAAAAATAAATAAAAATCATTGATTATTTTTCAGTTTAAAAAAGAAATTAAACCTCTGGTGTTTGAAAAAATATATCAACTCGACCAGCCTCAGCTATAATACGACCATCTTTTCTCACTGTATACAGCGGTGCACCGACTATCAAATCATCAAGTCTATCAAGCAAAAGAAAAATATTTAAAGACAATTTTGACTAATTTTGACCTATACCCATCATTATTAATATCAACAACACATAATGATGCACCAAAATATTCTCCCATTTGTGAACCATTTAGTGTTCGTATCGAATTTTCATCAAGATCACTATTCATTATTTCGATGGCACCACGATAATTATCTAATTTTGGTATACCAACAATAATTTCTATTCGAAAACGAATTATTTATTTATTTGTATCTATTGACAAAAAAAATGCATTGAAATCATACCTTGATTATCATTATCATTAAAATTTCCTAGAGCTAATGCATAACCTAAACAGATTCGAATAGACTTTATGTTCATTTTCGATAAAGCATTTGTCTTGATTACCTCGATAACACCAATCATCGTATTCATTTGAAGAATAATTTGATGGGTATCGAAGCCAACCAGCATCACGCCATTGATAATGTGGAGAAGTAAATGGATGTCTTGTATCGATCCAATTGTTTTCAAGTATTGGAATTGAATGTATTCCGCCTAATTGAATATTTCTTTGTTTATGTTTTTTTGAATTTTTATTTTTTTCTTACCTCGAAAATAAAAAGATCCTGGTGCTGTTACAATAATACGTGCTGGTTTTTCACTTAATGCTACTTGAAAACCAAATTCACCGTAACCTTCTTGATTATAATTTCGAGAATCTAATTATATTGAAATAGATTTTATTTTTGATATTTAAAATCTATTGAAGAAAATACATACGCCAATTGAGAAACGATGGAGAAAATATTTGTGTATCTTCTATCATCGACAATGATTTACCATACTTTCCAATAAGTGCACCACCTGGTATTTCATACTCGAGTTTATGTCCGTCATTAATACGATGTTTTAGAAATGGTGCACCTGCCTGAATAATAAAAAGAAAACACTTGAATAAATAAAATAAAAATGTTTCTAAAATAAAAACAAAACTTACAATTATATTGCCGTCATTAGCTGCTAATGAAGTACCTAACCATTGATCTGTTTTATTGTCATATGATGTACCAACGCGAACATTAGCTTCGCCTGAGAATGAAAATAAAAATTTTAGAAAAAAAAAAGAAGTAAACATTTCTTTTATCTTATACCATTACGACGAAATTGTATACGTTGACAATTATTATCTGAATGAAATTCACATTTCCATACAGCACCGCGTCTTGGTATAATATCATGTGGAGAATGATCACGAGGTGCACCGATGAGTAAACTTAAGAAATAAGCAAAGTAATAAAAGATTTCCAATGATTATTCATTTCTCAAGGTTTTACCTGGACCTATGAACTGCTAAGGAATAACCGAAATATGATGGTTTATGTGTAGATTTTTCTGGTCTTAAATATCTCCAATGTTCAACAGTCTGATAATTAAATGAATAAAGGGAAGTGGTACAAGAGGAGAAGATCAGAATAAATAATATCATCATAATGTTCTAATTAATTTCCACTGTTTTAGATGAATTGATAAGCGAAGAATAATACGATCACTATTTGACGCAAATTGGTCTCGGTTTATCATCTAGAAAAGAAAATTCAAGAAATAGCCATAGCTAAACCAGGAAATCAAACGGAGAAAGGAAGTTCTAACCGGCAGAAAAAAAAGGACAGAAGTAAGAACGGCTATTTTTATTGATCACCGTCTTACTCGTTGATTGTACTAAAGTTAAAGCGAGAGAAAAAGAAAAAAGAAAAAGTTCAAAGTCGATAACAATTTGTACGTATGTCAAGAAAAAATTGAATGACAAAATCACTTATACTTGTCTTTTTTGACATACTAATGTCCGCCTAACTAAATATGAACGATTGTAATAAATAATCTATAATATAGAAAAGAAAAGAAAAGAAAACAATAGAAAGAAAAATGTAAAGATTCTCAAGATGACAAATATAACTAAATCAGTTGTTGGTTACTGAAATTATTATGCAATAGAAATGAAGATAATCAAGTATTGACATCTTCTTCCTTTTTTACTTTCTTAGCATCGATGCATCGTTTTCGTTGTGGTCATAATAGTGATGCAATATGAGAGTATTCAGGCACCTATTCATTGTTTCTTATCAATATGTATTGATATATATATATATATATATATACTGATAACGTTTTGGTTCAATATCATCCTTCACACCTCATCTTTCAAATGTCTTTCTTGTCTTCTTACCTAACTTCCTTCATCTTCTTCGGCTTCTTCAAATCAGTCGATGATGTGAGCTCGTGTCGATAGGTAAGTGTGACCATAAACATAAAGTAATTGTCAATTAGGAAAAGAGTAATAGTAGTAGCAACGTGTGCGGAGATATCGTTACGCTCACGGTTAGGGCTCGCTTGAAGAACACACACACACACACACATATATATATATATATATATAGATAGATATACGATGTTGACATGTGCATGTAAGCATATGAGAGAAAGTAACACGTATTGACCGTTATTCTATGTTCTTTGATCTGAATAGATTGAAACGAGAGAGTAGAAGACTACATTTCACAATATTCTAATGAAAGGTAAAATCTCTATGATGAATGAGTAACTTAACATAATACTGCATGCTTTTGCATTCAAACAGGAACTGTAAGTATAAAGATCGATGACCTTCTAATTAACATGTAAGCTGAGTGAATATTATTTGTCCACATAGAATGAAGTGTTAATAAAATAAGTAATACATAATAAAGAAGTCAAAATAGATGAATTCTTATAATTGTTAATAAATATTGTCTTTTCAACTATTGTAAATGTCTATGTATCATATAAAACATATTAATGTAGAATAATATATTGTTTATATTCGATCAATTATCTCGTCACTTCGACTAAAATAAGATTTCAATTGAATATAGTGTAGAAACATATGATGCAATCATGCCAAAACAATAATATAAATACAGACCTAACAAGATTGCGTCGTAGAGATTACAAGTAACTATAAATAATAGCATGTTGATAAGTCAACTGCACAGTGAGGAAGTTACCGATGTTGGTCATAGTAAATATTGCTATTTCAATCTTAGGCAATTTTTTGTCTAAGAGAATATTAGACGAATTTCCCGAAGGGAATGATTCATTTCTTTGAACATTGCTCCGCTTTTCCACATGTGTATTTTCTAAGAGATCAGTAAAAAAATGATTTCTACAACTTGTTTGTGACATGAACCGTAGATTCAAGCACGCCATACACACATATACGTAAAACTATTCAGAATGATATACGCTTGATGTAATAAATGAGTTCAATACTGACTCCAGATGGTCTTTTTTTGAGCTCATTTGAGCTTCTACATTAGTTATGCAAGTTACTTGACCCTTCATCTTCCAATCGTCCAATTAATTGTTGCTTCTTTCTTTGTCGACCACGCGAGAGAAAAGTATGATAGAACAAGGACATTTATCTAAATCTAAAATCCTATCACAACTTACTCTTTCGCTATATTATTGTTTACCTAATTGTAGCCATATTCCATGTGTTTCCTTTAGCTAAACTGACTCCTATTGTACGTTTATGTTCATCAGTGTAATTTATCCATTGGATTATGCAGTAACCCTAAAAAAAAGATCGATCATGGTACACTATTTGTCGAAAGAAAATATACGAACGCATAAGAGCACGTCTTCATTTTCTTGTTGATGGTACCAACAACGTTCAATCAATACATATACGTATATATTTATACGACATGAGGAAGAATGAAGAAAAGAGGAATAACGAAAAATTGTTCTCTTCTATGAAGAGAGACGGAACTGGTAACAGAATATACATAAACAGAAGCCACAACTGCTGTTGCCTCATTTTAACGATTCAGCGATGAGATGATAATGACGATATGCGGCAATATTGGATGATTACTTTAATGGAAAAATAGCACGCTTCTTATGCTAAGACGGAAGTCGATTGCCGACGTTTTCTCTCATCGAACGCAGTTAACACTTCTATTGTGATAAGGTTGCGTGCACGTTTCCTTCGTAACAATGAATATGATCATTATCACGTTGTGTGCACAAAAGGCTAAAATCAATATTTGCCTGTGCAGTACAATAATTTAATATTTGTAAGTACCGTTACTGTCAGCAAAAAAAGAAAGGAATAAGAGGAAAATCAATGATTGATCACTATTGCATTTATATGTTCGAATAAGAAAAATGTAAGAAAGTATTTGCGAATACCATTTTTTCTAGGCAAGAAATTAGAGTAATGTACGTAGATAATTAAGCTGAAGAAATATTATACGTCAATAGACATTTTTGTGTTCATGTGCCTTTTTTTATGGCTACTTCAGTTAATGATAATGATGATGATTGTCGATGTCAAACATGAATGAATGGTTGTTTAAATGAGGAAGCAACAGGCAAAGAAGAACAGCAATAAGTGTTCAATCTCATTCTTGTTCTCAAGTGGCTTACCATCTGTCAGTATGCTGCATAAATGGAACGAGCCGACCAGTACATGATACGTCAATATAATCGTGTTTTGAATTCATGATGAGTAGAAACAACATATATATATATATATATGTAGTAAATCTACATATAATAGATTTTGATACGAGAAAATACGGCTGATAAAGATGATGATTGAAACATTCTTTTCATATACTATATACATAGAATCGTCCTAATGATCAATAATAAGCTTTTGACATGTATACACCGAAAAGAAATGTATGTAAAAGTAACTGATCTCTACATATTTTTTCATATGTCAAGTTTCTTCTAAATATACAAATCAAAGTAATCAATATAATTTAATCTATTTAACAGCTCTCGCACCTATGTTTTTAAGGATATCGTTCGCCTTTTGCCAGCTGGTCCAATACGTTGTTCATTATTATAGACAAACGAGGCGGACCCAAGTGAGAGAAAGAACATAAAGAGCATGTTAAGTGATCACATCAAGCTAAACATTACTATTATATCAGTATGCATAGTCACCTTTGGAGTCAGTGTGATAATGAAATGTAGTCTCATTGTCACGCAAAGCACCAATTGTTCTGTCTTGTTTATTCAACATGAAAAATAAAAATTGCTAAGATCATAAACTATTGATCACATGCAAATATGACAAAAGCGTGATAAAGTTTCAAAAGCAACTTGTCTATTATAAAATTTCCTTTCATCTTCCTCAATATTATTGAATATTCGAACTATCAAGCAAATCAATATTAGCATCATTTTTGATTGATTTCCGTTTAATCGATAATTGAGAAGATCTTATGAGAATCATTATCGAATACTTATTTATCTTTGATTGCACTACTTATCCAAATGAATAAATGAACTTAGATATTGATATTCAATTGATAAAAAAAATGCTTTTTTTTAATCATTTGATTGAATTAATACTTCTGCTGCAACGGAAGGTCGTAAATCAAAGTATATGGTTGACTCATTTTTCTTCTTGTCCACAGCAGATTTATAATCGATGTAAACATGTTTATTGATAATAAAAATTAGTAGCAGTCACACATTCAATCTGATTAAAATCTTCTGATCTACTAGAAGTTCTATAGCTTTATCACAGCTATTTAAAACAAGATCAAGTTTCAGAATCGTTTTTCAGTGTATCTAATAAAAATTTTTGATGAGGAGTTCATCTCAATGATACAGGCTTTTGTATGTCTGTTAGAGATAAAAGAGAATGTTTGAATTTCCAAGATCGAATAGGATAAACTTCTTTCGTTTGAGAGTTTGATCTAAATAAAAGTGCACTATCAACAATATTTAAGAAAATTAAATCACAAAGTGAAATTTTTGTCAGATTTCTTCATTTTTTTTTCTTTGATTCATTTGAACCATTGTAATTATAACGAAACTAAGTTCAATATATTCAGTTTTTGCATATAATTAGTCGCCGAAAAATACGATATGAAAATTTCACGTACACGTTGAATCGTTTAGTCATCAGTTGATGCCTTATTTCCATGTTTCTCTAGTTATTAGCGAATATGCTAAGTTTGATTAATTTTTTAATGACTATTAAGTGCCTCAAGCGTAAAATCTTAACAGTATATATCGATTGCTCCATCAACGAGTGCAAGTCAGTAACGAGTTATGAAATAGAATAATTAACAAAGTTAAAATATCTTTATTGTTTCTGATTGATTCCTCAAGCGATTAATGTGATACAAATCTATTCCTATTTATTTTATATTTAAATAGTGCAATTGGAAAAGCAAAACTACATGTCATTCTCATTTTCTTATCAACCAACTGATAAGTTGCGCTAAGATAACTTGATCTTTGATGAACCTATGCATTTACTATAAATGGAAGAGAAGTATTCTAAAGATTTCTCATTTGTATTTATTCATATCGCGAGAATGAATTCATGTCAAGTTATGTCGATATGATTTCCTGCGAGGTGTGATTGATCATGTCCTTTCTTTCTCTTTTGTCAAATTACTATATGAAAATAAGTGAACGTAGAAAATATATTAACTAGAGCACTACGTCTCTCAGATGAGCTCTAGTATGTGACTTTACAATCAAGAAGCCAAAAGCATAGTTTGTAACAATAAGTCAAATACAGTATCGTTCTCATTGGATAAGACAATTATCAGAATTTTAATTAATTGAATACTTTTATTATTATATAATAAACTAGAAAACAAAGTCGATTGTGCACAGAACTTTTTTTGAAGTAATCTTGGTGTTTTGTCCTATGAATGTTTCTAATTATTATTTTTAGTTGAGACTTATTTTACTCTATATAATTATATGAAAATAAATGAGAGAGTATATACCAATAAAGAAAATAGATTATTAATATTCGAATATACACTGTACTAACATTCCAGCCGTAAACTTCTTTTATTTGCTACAAAGTTTTTATATTTTTTGCGAAATATGACCTGACTGTGAGTTTTTCAAGGGTTGTATCAGTGAAGTGTATTTGTACAATTTTTATCTTTTCTAATATTAAATAAAATAAATATTTGATTGTACAATCTACAAATAGGACCACGCTGATCAACTTAATATCATTGTTATGTGATAGAATTTTAAGGATTTTGAATCGTATTTCTATTAAAAGCTGATATGACTTCTTCAGGAACTGGTTTTATTAACGTATGACTAAACATAAACTAATATAAAAGCAGCTATGACTACATTTAAATCGCATTGATGAACTTTTGATGTTTCGTCATCGTGTCTAAAATTTATGTTTAAAATCGATACTCGTTATTCGTCTCTTTACAAACTTTAAAAAAAGAAATACTTTTTAGCTACCAAGACATTGTTATTCTTCGCTGAATCGAGTCGATCACTGAAAACAGCATAAGTATGATTAATTTCGCTCCAATAAATTAGAAATCAGATAAAAAAACATTTTGTATTTATCTATCTACCATATAAACTGCATAACAAATACATATATATATATGTTAGCGTCCAAACAGAGATCGCATCCAATCTCAGATTGGCCTAGGCGAATCTCGAATACGAGATTGGACGCGTCCAATGTTGGATTGAGCGGAAATTTAACATTAAAACGTGAATTACTCTGTATATCGGTGTAGGATTCAAATTCTTATTGATGAATTATGATCATGATAACCTATATCCTGACACCCTAATCCTCACCCAAACCCGTTACCTAATATGATGATACTTCATCGAAGTTCATAAGTAGAAAATCGAATCCTACACCGATATACAGAGTAATTCACGTTTTAATGTTAAGTTTCCGCTCAATCCAACATTGGACGCGTCCAATCTCGTATTCGAGATTCGCCTATACCAATCTGAGATTGGACGTGATCTCAGTTTGGACGCTAACATATATATATATATATATATATTAGACTCTCGTTTTTCTTCTGAATTAGATATTGACATTTTTATTTTATTTTAAAAGCAAGTCTATTCTTTGCTTTCCTTTCTTCGGACGTGGTTGAATGTTGACATAGTGCTTAGCATTTAAATATTTATAGGGAAAGAACAATTATTATTTTTCTAACCAATCTTTATGTATTGGCAAAATAAATACGAACAAGTATGTTTCAATTCATTAGACTATTTGATGAGACCGTAGTTGAATATATTATTTATTTATCGTACAGTGAACGTAAAGAATATTACGCAATTTGATTAATTAGTGAAATTTAGTTATCGAATATTGTTACGTCATGTCAACTGATAATATAAACTGAGAAATGATTTATAAAAACATGATGATCTAATATAAATTTCAATAAGATGTATAAAAATATGTTTCATCCAATAGAATGCATTCAGTGTTTTTTTTTCTTGAACAATCACGGTTTTTACTTGCATATACGAAGATCGTAGAATATTTCAAGAAATGAAATTGATAGATATAATTAATATTCCATTCGTTACTGTTATTATTGACATGTTATTACGTTAGGAAAAAAGAACATGAAAGCATTGGATTCAAATTCATAAAATAAATTACAAGTACATCGACATACGTCTTTAAAACAGAGTAAAATCCATAATATGCATTTTCCCCAAAGACTCTTCACTGGCCCATGGAACTAAGAGTTCTCCTATTTTTGTATCAGCCTGATTGCATAAATATTTAAAATAGACAATGAAAATAAGATTTCCATTAGAGTACTGGCCAAAAGGTAATCGTCCTCATCGATTTCGTCGTACGCTTGATAATTTTTATTGAGGCTTATTTTTACAAAAAAATGAATCAATGGATAAGAAGAAGAAAAAAAATCATATTTAAAAACAGAATGTTGCCCCGAGAAAATGACCCACTCATAAATGAATAATAAATTCTTATTATTATTGTAAATCAATCAATATCATCAGTCTCAGGTTCGATCGATTTTTCTTGACATTTATAGTTAAAAAGAGCTTGAAGAGAATCATCGTCTAACGTTAAATTGTCTTCGAGTACATTAGCAATCTAAATGAACAATTGAAATCAGATATCAAAATTGAATTCATGAAATAGTCAACAACAGAATGAATACTTCTTTTAAACCATTCAGTTGCATTTGTACTTCTTCCTGATTGAAAGGTTGTAAATCGCAAACACGAGTTTGTATTCGATCTAATAAGATATATTTATGATTTGTTTTAAATAAATATATAAATAATATTTATACTTATAAATTTATTCATAAATTGAGCACAATATTTTTGTATCTGAAGATTATCATCAAATCTTTGACGTGTTTCTTTCCCAGGGGAGACCTAAAATCAATATAAACATGAATACTGATAATTAAAATTAGTATTAATTTATACAAGCATTTCAGAATCTTTTACTGAGTAAGAATTGACAGGTTTAAACAGTTGTATTGATGGAACAAATCTGTTTGTAGAATTATTTCTTGTTGAATCTAATAGGGGATTTTGTGAAAAGTTTTGTATAGGTGACGTAGGCTTGGGCATTTCTGAAAGAGATGAGCGATTGTTTGTTGATTCCGACGCCGATGAAATGCGTCGAACCTTGCTATTTCTAGAAATTTTTTCTAAATTGAGTGCATTTTGAATGATATTTTCGACGTCCGACACAACATTGGGTTGCATTAGATATTGTAGACAACAACTGTATTCACATCCTGTATTTTTTTGAACTAAGAAAATTTATTTGTGATCATATATTCATAGTAGGAAAAATATTAGCAACATACATTTCTGTCCAATGTCCATTAATAGTGCAAGAAAAAAGTAATCAACAAATTCAAAACATTCACCATAACAGAATATCACTGTCCATAGACCTGAAGTAAAAAAGAAAGAGATGCTTTTTTTCATTGATGCACAAGTATATATATATATATATATACAGAGCTACTGAGTGAAGTTTCAGAGGTAATTTTCTCGAAAATCGAACATGTTCGTCTGAACGTTTTTGAGATTCTGCATAAATCACATTTGTAATATACCGGGATGACAAGAGATAGATATGGTAAATTTTGCTTACACAGATTCTAAAAACTTTAGATTATGGTACAATGTGAGGATCCGTATGTAGTTTTATATGATGCTAAATGTTGGTATGTTAAAGATATTATGATGTGTTTTCTTTGAAAACTCCTATCTAGGATTCCGTACGCATCTTTCTTAGACTCATTGAGATTTGAATCAAGTACTTTCGATCGCAGAGAAACATGAACGCTACTTTGGCTTGAGGGTGTTGAGTATCACTGCATTACCTGGAATAGAACCAAATGGAATCTCACGTCCAAATAACAGTCGAAGCCAACGTCTATATAGATAGAGAAAAAGATAATTACTATTTTTTCTTCATATATTGATTGACCGTATTCTGATCATTTCAAAAAGTCGGTTATCGGAAAACAATTTGCTTTAAAAATTCTCCTAATTCAACACAGCATTGTCTGTGTTTAATGAAATTTCAAGAAAGGAATCTCTTAGAGATCCACCCATAAATTGTATTTCTTACATTCCATAAACTGTTGGTTCAATATTTAAATTTTGAAGTTTATCATACAGTGGTAAATCGTAGTATTTTAATCGTTCGAAAATCGAGTTTACTCTCATCACAGTATCATTCATTTGAATGTGTAAATCATTCACGCGTTGAAATAGTAAATATTTACTAGTATTCATATTGATATTCTATGTTGAAGAAAAAAAGAAGTTGAATCTAATAAACCGAAATATGTCTTACTTTACGGGTGACTATATTAGTTGGTTTAAAATCATAAAACGGTTGCAGATGTTCCATTATTTTTTCATAAATTGCACTAATAAAAATTAGTATGAAAAGAAAAACAAGAATCACTTAATAAAAGTTTCCAACAAATAATTACAAAGCATCATGAGCAAGATATTTCGGATCATAAAGCTGTTTCATTAATTCATTTGAATCTGAATATTCATTGACTGTGGTACTTTCCAAATGAATCAAATAGAGAATAACAGCGAGAATTTCATGCATACCCTAAAAATACAACAATATGAAGTAGAAGAAAAAGTAGCCTTCGTTATTTTACTTGTCGATAAGGCAACGATTCCCCGTGATGTCGACTGTGAATATATAAAACATTGAGTAAAAGATTCAGGACATGTTTTTGTCGAAAAAATGATATTTCTTGGCAACTAAAACCAAGAGGCGAGAATGACAAATTATAAACAAGTTCAACTATTTACGTTCGAATAACATCTTGATAAATATTTTCTTTAAGTTCTTCATAGACATAATATTGATGCCAAAGGCTCTAAAATATATGTAGACACATTTTAGAAGATAATGATCTATTGAAATATTCTAGTACCTCATCTTCCTGAGAAAGTGGATGATTACGATTTTCTGCATCACCATTATGCTCGCGTATTTTAGCTAAATCAAGAAGATATTTATCTGCAAGTTCACTGTAATTATCACGTGACCCATCAATTATTTGACTCCATTGACTTGAATCTCTTGGTAAACAATGTAAGAAAATACGCCATAAAACAGTTGTAAATGGTGATGTTATCATTTGTCTATTTAGAATTTTATTACGAATTGTTTCATAATCAAATGAATCGAATAAATTTTTGAATTCGAATCTACGAATAATAATTAAAAAACACGTTTCTTAGTTAACAGCAACAACTTATCGTTTCTAGTCACTTACAAAACTGATGCATGGCTATCGTTTTCTTCTCTATTAAATTCATTAGATGCTTTGGTAAATGATGTTGTAGCCTCAACTATAATAAAAAAATTAATGAAAAGAATTAAATAGCAAGCAGATACAGTTTCTCTCAATGTACTTTCAGAAGAGCTTCTCTTTGGTTCAATTGAACTAGAAGATTCCGATTGTGCCGATGATGATGGCGGTGGTGGTGGTGGTCGTTGTGGTCGAAGAACAACACGTTCCGTATCGATTTCTACTTTTAGAGTTGATGTTTCAATCGATGACATTATTTTCAAATGTAAAACTATGTAACTATAACTCTGTTGATATGCTTTATTAGAATCCGATACAAATATATATATATATATATATTCAAAATAAAAAACGCAATGCGAAACAACGTTTATTTTGTTTCTTTTTTTTTCTTCCCTATCTATTCTTTTTCTTTGCTTATTAAACGAACTTCTCTTATCAGTATTTGTTTTTCTCATATTCATTTTCAAATATTGTATGGCAGTCATACGAGGATGAATCATTTCTAATTTCTTTTCTTGGATTACTGTATATGTAAACAAAAGAAAAACAAGGATGAAAAATATATTTAATAAAGAAACATGTTTTTTTTTTGAATATTTACTATCATTAACATTGAATACTTGATTCAAATTTCACATTATTATTTAACAATTTTGTAACATTTTAACTAATTAGTTAAAAAATGGATTCAAATTCAAATAAATTGCTTTACTTCGTTGAAAACAAATACTGGTGTTTACAGGTTTACCATTTGGTTTTGAAACGAGAGTGAATTAAATACATGTGTTTAGTCACCTCCGGGTTTTTCTATATCGAGGTTTTCCTTCTTTTCTGCATGTATTAAATTTTCTAATGCATATGCAATTTCGCATAGATTTCATTGAAAATTATTTACGCAATCATTATTTAAATCAACACAATCGATACATGCACCAACCTATAGTATTAGAAAATGTTCAAAATCTAAAACTAGACATATGTTTCATTCATTCATTCATTCATGAATTGAACCAAAGCATTAACCGTAGAAAGATTTTTTTAGATGCATCGGGTATTATGATCATGATATATCATTACCTACTAGACCTATAACAGTTCACGAGGTAAAACTTCATATAATCACCAGATTTATTCCATAGTTCCTCCATAGCTTTGTATGTTCGTCTTTTCGAATAAGTAGTGACATGTCATTCTATATGGGATTCCAATCGACGTCTATTTGTAAATGACTAATGTAGATATTTTCGTATTGAAAAACTATAACTTTTCTCATATGCACCCGTAGCGAACAAAGGGATACACATTCTGGTTCTCAGATTCATTCTTTAGTTCGCCTAAGCGAAATTGAATGTAATAGACTCATTGATAATGCTGCATTCATATTTTCAGAGTGTGATCAAGTTCGTTTTTACTAAAGAAATGCTATTGTTGTCTTGTTATAAGAAGCTAAACATTTGCTCTCTAGAGAAACAATTCATTACGACAGTTTCTCTCGCCTTTGTTGTTTAGCTATACGATAGAAAAGAACGGGAAAAAATCTCGGCTGGTAATTATATTGAAGTTAACAAGCATAAATAAAAAAAACCTGAAAAAGAATAATAATGATCGGCGCATGATTGAAGCTCTCATATTTGATCAGCGGTCCGTATCATAATCATTATTTAGCCGTGTAACACGATAAAAAACAAGTTTCTATTGTATAGAGTAGTTTCTTTTCTTGTCATAATCTAATGTCAATGTGAACTAGGGGTAGACCGTTGATTTTAATGTGAGTCAATTAAGAGAGTTAATTAAGTGGTTTTACTTAACACTTGATATTAAATTAACGTGAAGTGCCACCCCTAATGTGAACGTATTTTCACTAAAATTTCTTTAAAAAAATAGTTATTTGGATTATTAATAAATTAGTTTGTTGAGACCGTCTTTCTTGTGGATTAATAAAAAGCAATCGAAATTCTTGTTTACTGTTCGAATCAGTGCTACTATGTAATTTTAAGATTTTATTGTTGCAAATATGATTGAAATAACCGAACAAGTGCTCGATAGTAAATTTTCCATAGAAAATATATTCTTGCAATATGAACTCAAATGTACATTGAAATTAGAACTTTACCTATGAAATGTTTTTAAACAAACAAAAATTAATATCTTCAAGTAGAATTCGTTATGATTTTTTTCAAATGAAATAAAAGATTACATTGTCGGATTCTTATAGATATTGTTAAAATTCAATTACACTATTCTATATACGTGTTGATAATGGCGCTCAAAAACATTTTTATATGTATATGAACAATGGTGTTTGTTTTGGTTTTGATATATCAAATGACAGAATTAACTATTTTGTTATTAGGCTTAGTAAATGAATATTATATTTTTAAATCTATTTCTTTTTTTTTTTTTTGAATTT